GGCAACTTATGCAGTATAATAGGTGTCAAGGAACGCAGTCCGTTTATCAAAGTAATATTTCAAAACACAAGCTTGAACTTAAACAGACGCAGTACAAGGATATTGAGAAGCGATACTTTAACCAACTTCTTCAACTAAAGGTTGATGGCATGAATGTCCAGGTTCATTTTCTTTGGTTTTTGATCTTGTTGCTTGATCTAATAGCTGATGTGACTGCAGACAACTGAGATGGCAAACAAGGACTTGGACCGATACTATGCTGCTTTGGATAAGTGAGTACGTCTCACCATCACTATGTGCTATTATGTTCTCATTTTTCTTGTAGTTACTCCCCAAGATTTAAGTAAGTGATACTGACTTTCTGAACATTGTTCTTTTCACTTCAATAAGCAAGGTTTGAAAAAAAGCTAAGTGAGTAAGTGATACTCATGTGGTTGCCCCCCTAGTATTGATTATTTGATTATGCATAACCGGCAATGGAAGATTGTGTGATCTAACCTATGTATGCCAACAGGAAGGGGGCACCAGTTACATATATATGCTCTAAGAATAGACCAGTATATTGAACACTAGTAATAAGAAGCATCCTTTTTGTTCCTTGTTTAAAGATTTGCCTTCCTTCTACTATGTATTAATAGACTGAAAATGTCACGTTTGTGTCAACTGTTATAAATTTCCTTGTTTAAACACTGAAATTGTTTATTGCCGTATCTGTTATATCAGATTTGTCCCTTATAAACTGAAAACATTGAAATCCCATAGTCTTCTCTCTGCCAAGAAAATTGCGTTGCTGTCTTATGAATCTGTTTTTTTTTTCTAATTTTATTAGCATGAAATTCTTATGTAGTACTCCTTCCGTTCCATATTGATCATGATGTAACCAAAAAACAGAAATTCCAAATTGATCATCATATAACCCTGACCCTTTCGTTTGACGTGTAGTATTATTATTGTATTTATGCATGCAAATTGAGTTTGCATACAGGCATTTGGGGGTGGTAAAGTTCCTGTTTCTTGTGTATGGGGGAAGTTAAAGTCTGCATGTTTCTTGATTTTCTCCCATCATATACTCACATTAAATGAAATACAAGGAAGTTAATGCTTCTCTTGGTCTTGATGAAAATACTTATGTGATGATCAATATGGAATGGAGGGAATACATTCTATGATGAACATACGAAAGATGACATATGTATTAATTAAAAACATGATATCAAAAGTGCTTTTGAGTGAACTGGTTTGTGTGCAAAACCTACTTCTGTAAAAGTAAAGGTCCTAAATTGGGACCATAACACTCACTGTTAAGTGTATATCAGCCATTTGGCCGATGTATCTTGAGTTGCCCTTTATGGTTAATTTTAAAATAAGTGACTCTAATCAAGACTAGTAAAAGAAAGGATATCATAAAAGAGTACTCCCTCCATCCCATAATATAAGGCACCCACGCATTTCAAGATTCCACATTCAAAACATTTTGACCAACATTTAGTACAATATGAATCGAATTTTACTTGCTAAAAATTGTATAATCGGATTGACATTTGAATTTACTTTCATATGGCTATAATTTTGTTACTACAAACCTTATAATATTTGAGAAATTATAAGACAAAGATTAGTTTTGGGGACCGTGTCAAGTTTGACCATGCCTTATATCATGGGATAGAGGGAGTACCTACCTAATCTATTAGGATTAGCAGTTTTACTTCCTTTCTGAATAAGATTTGCATTAAGGGTATAAATACCCAATAGGAGGTCATAAAAAGTTTAGCCAAACCAAGTGAGAAGCATTTGCAGTCGAGTGGCTTCCTTCCATTCGGTGCTGGTCGCTAAGAAGCATTTGCAGTGTTCACCCATCTGTAGAATCTAGATCAACTGTGGTTATTTTCACTGCTAGTTGGTCCGATGGTGCCGTCGACACTGTTGACCCGTCATGCTTCTACTTCTCTACCACATAGTGTTGCACACTAGTTGGCATGGGTCCAAGGACTGAGGGTTGGGCGTGCCTTGATTGATCAGCTATGCTGCCACTAACGTTCTGAGCTCTGGTTGATAGGCGAGGAGAATAGAGAACCTTTGTTTATTCTTTGCTTCAATAATTCTGAGAGATGTGTTCCCTTCTAAAAGAGCAGCTTACAACCACCGAGCAAACCAGATGAGACACGAGTATCTTCTTCAAGAGAGAGCTAGCAAAGTATCTCGTTTCCTAAATAATGGACTTTGTACTTCCTTGGTGCAAAGGGTCAGGGGTCAGCCAGCATTACCAGTTCACTCCTGCTGCGGCAGCAAATGCATGCATCTTGTCCCTTTCTTTTGCTTCTTCCTTGGTCCAAGACTGTTGCCCACATGGTGCACAAAGCCCATAGCATGTACCTACAGCTTGTTGTATGAATTATTTTGAATTGCATCCTTTATTTTTTGTGTAGGCCTTGTATGTTGACACATGATTAGTGGAGTAGGGGCTTACATCTTGGGATGACTGTGATAATAGAATATGCTCAGATGTTTGTTTTTCTGCTAGGAAGTTTCACCCAACTTGCATTTTACAATTTTGTGTTTATATTTTCTGCTAGGGCTCTTATGCGGTTCCACACCATGAAAATGGAGGAGATAAACAAAATAATCAAGGAACTGTGGCAACAGACATATAGGGGCCAAGATATCGACTATATAAGCATTAATTCTGACTCTGAGGGTGCTGGCACTCGATCATACAGCTATCGTGTAAGTTAAATTAGCTAACCCTTGATTAACTTTCTTGGATTGTTCGTCAGGGTTCACTTGTTTTCAACTTCCTTTTAGGTTGTCATGCAAACAGGTGATGCTGAGCTGGAAATGCGAGGGCGCTGCAGTGCCGGCCAGAAGGTAAATTTTGGCGATGTTTATTTTTCACTGGTAATTCAGTCAATTTATTGACAGGTTTGCTGTCTTCTTTTAAGCAGTACACCTGTTGGATAAGTGCTAGAATTATTTTGTGACACGTCCAGTACGCAAGTCCATGTCTTACACAGTTATCTACACTACTGTTCAGGTGCTTGCGTCGCTTATAATCAGACTGGCACTGGCAGAAACATTCTGTCTGAACTGTGGCATATTAGCTCTAGATGAGCCGACCACCAATCTAGATGGGCCTAATGCAGAGAGCCTTGCTGGTGCCCTTTTGAGGTATTCCTTTTGGCAACTACAGATTTACTACTAAATTGTTATCACCCGGAGCTTCCACCCTAACTGTGTGTGCGCCTGTCTGTCTTTCCGACACAGAATAATGGAGAGCAGGAAAGGGCAGGAGAACTTCCAGTTGATTGTGATCACCCATGACGAGAGGTTTGCTCAGCTTATTGGTCAGAGGCAGCTCGCCGAGAAATACTACCGAGTCTCCAAGGATGAACAGTAAGTGTGGCACCGTTCATTCTTCTCTTACATATGGACAGAATTCTGCACACTTTTCCTATCGATTGATTGATTCATTCATTCACCTTTGACCAAACCCTGCAGCCAGCACAGCAAAATCGAAGCCCAGGAGATCTTTGACTGAAGAGACGCGGTTCTTGGATCATTTTTAACATTACTATCGCAAAGCCTGCCTTTTGCTCTACCAGCCAATGTGCTTGCAGTTCATATTCGGCTAGGATGCTTGCCAAGTCGAGCTGAAGAGAGGAGTTCAACAGTTGACAAGTCTGACGTTTGCATGGTAAGTTTGTTTCCATCTTGGCCTGTGCCAGGGATCCTGATTTTGCCTATGACCTCATCGTTGTGTATATGATATTAATGTAGAGGAGGCACCGTACACACTTTATTTATGCTGTTGATTACAGCATCTAAGAATTGCAACTAATGTAGCATAATTCAGTGGATGTAACTATACTTATTGCTGGGTCTTTTGCGTCATGAGATGTGGGCAGAAGTGCTCTTCTCCTGTCTTCTCGGCCTTCAGAGACTGATTCTGCTCCCAAAAAAAAAGACCCCAACCACAACACTGTGAAGTGAGTGAACGCTGACCCTTTGGTGTGCTCAATGTTTGTGTTCGGTACCTCCGTTTCAAAATATAAGTATTCATGCATGTTTTTCAAAATGTATTTGGACATTTCTTCCTACAGATTCATTCTGGAAAACACATATAAATGTTTCTATTTTGAAACGGAGGGAGTAATTATGATGGTTTTTTTACTTGCGATTGTGTGATTGGAGAATTGAAATAATATTTAATAAATTTACTCGGTAGCCGTATGCCTCTATCGTACAACAATCAACCCTTTTGTTGTATTAGATGATCCTAATTACTCAGTCCCAAAAATACCTATATAATCTATTACAACAAACAATATTACTGTCAGACCTATCTACAGTAACGCTGATTTTTCACAATCACGATACAGTATTACTATAGTAACGTTCGGAGAATATCGTCAAAAAAAAGGAGCATGAAGGGACGACTAAGTTTCTATTAGTTCGAATCGCTTTTCATGCAGTTAAATTTTTTAAAAACATTAGGAACGAGCATGAAAGGATCCAGCAGTTTCTTTTAGGAGGAACATGAAAGCAGCAAGTACTTTCCAGGGAAAATTTGAACCATGTACTCTCTTGGACCCAAAATAAATACATTCTTCTAGTTGAACTAGAGAAGTTCATTTATTTTTGGAATATTGGAGTAAATAATTAAGGATTGAGAATAAGCATCGAATGAACGAGCAATTTCGAAGGAACAGCATATGGTCAACTTTCAAGCCCAAATCTGTAGGAGTGTCGCGGAATAAACTGAATTATTAATTAGTAATTACCATCAATCTAACTTCGCCTATCTATTTAAGTTTGTAGAAGCGCTGAAATGGATCAAACAGTTATAGCACCATATGAACATTTACACGCTACTTATATGTACGAAATGTAATCACGGATCGAGGACAAACATCTTGGTATAGTTTCTTTCCATTTATAATTAGTCTAAGGACATAACAGCATAAACATTGTATCGTTAAAGTTTTGTTCAAAGTACATCAAGATCATCGTAAAACTCTTAGTAATTGATAATAAGCTTATTACATAAACATGATACCCCACCAAAAAAGTTTGTACGATCGGTTCTCCAACCTTTGAATGTTGTTCTGTTTTTACTGCACTATGATCCAAACCTACCGTGTCAGACAAGTGGTAAGAAAGATCTATGTACGCCGATAAATTATCGGTCGGTATATACATAACTTTTTCGACATACAATTCGAAAAATTCTATATTCAAGTGTCATGCAAAATCTAATTTGCAATTACTATACTTTGTCGAAGAAAAATGTCGATGTTAATCACTACTCCTACCTATGTGCACATAGCCGCCGTTGCACTTACGAATATATGCATGCATCAGCTGCGGTTTTCGAGGACAAGCGCGCCAAGAGCGTCCACGTAGCTCTCCCACACCTTCGCCACCGCCCCGGCCGCCACCTCCGCCGCGCCCTCCACCGCAGCCGCCACGGCCCTGGCGGCCTCCTCGCCGCCGTCCCGCGCCGCCTCCGCCAGCCCCGCGGCCGCCGACGCCGCGAGCTCCGCGGCCCCGGCCACCGCGCCCCAGAGCGCCTCGAGGAGCGCCGACGCGACGGACGCCGCGGCGTCGCGGACGACGCCGGCCGTGAGCTCCACGGCCGCGGTGACCGCGCCCCTGGCCGCGCCGAGCGCCGCGTCGGCCGCCTTCCCCGGCAGCGTGAGCAGCCGCGCGGCGGCGAGGAGGAGGAGCGCCGCGCCGCGGAGCAGCGCCGTGGCCACCGCCTCCGCGCACGACGCGAGCAGCCATAGCGCCAGCTTCACGACGACTAGCCCGAGCGCCATGCACTCGATCTGCCCGCTACTGCAAACTACCAAAATGCACAATAAGAGGCTTGGTGATCATATATATATATATATATATATATATATATATATACCCAAAAAATACATGGGGGTGACGCACGTAGCGCGTCTCTCCCTCTCTTTTTTTAATTATATATATATACACAAATACATGAGATGACACATGTAGCACGTTTCTCCATCTCCTTTTTAATTATATAGTAATCATATATGATAAATACACGACATGATGCATGTATCGTCTTTTGTTTTTAATCACATGGAAGATGCACACATACATACTATCGAGAGACGAAAATAGATAATAAAGCCGTAACCTGACTAAATTTCTAATAAAAGTAGACCCGCACATACATAATTGTGTGCATCAGAATTTAAATGCAATAAATATGCACGCGCGTATATATATATATATATACACACGTATTTATATATATACACACACGTATATATACGTACGTGTGTGTGTGTATATATATATATATATATACACACACACACACACACACACACACACACACACACACACACACACACACACACACACACACACACACACACACACACACACACGTATACGTGTGTGTGTCTATATATATATATGTATATATATATGTATATATATATATGTATATATATATATATGTATATATATATGTATATGTATGTATATGTATGTATATGTATGTATGTATATGTATAGATATGTGTATATATATATATATATATATATATATATATAACACAACACACACACTAACGTTTATGTTTATGTATATATATGTATGCTTATAAAGAGATGGTGTAGCTAGGGAGAGATTAGTGTTGCTTGGAGTGCAAGGATGGAGTCTAGCTAGGATGGTTGTTGTTACTTGTGAGTTTATCTATGGGAGAATAGCTCTTTTGTGAGTAGGTGAAGTACACACGAACAAGTCGTTGCTTCGAAGGTTTACTTTGGGTTCATCATATCCATGGGTCGTCGTCGTCGTCGTTGCTTAGGGTGAGATTGAACTGGTATTTGTTTTCTCTTTTGTAATTAATCGTGTGATTTGTGCATATGTGTTGAATAGGACATTCTATCCATGTACGCATTGTTTAGTATATTATATTTTGTATCTAGGGTCTCAATATCTGTTCATCAGCTAGTGATACGGTAGGGTCAAGATTTTAACTTGCGTGCTGTTTGGCGTACTAGCTACAATGATGTGACACATACATGGAGACCGATGAAAATATTGGATATTGGATGGGGACGGTCAATTTCTTTAAATAACAGTTACTGTCGGCTTAGACACGGTTTCTAACTTCACATGAGTGTGCTCTCATAATATGTAATTATCAAATTAAGATAATTTTTATGACGTGTGTGAAAACCACTAGAGCAAATGGGTCTGAAAATGCGATGGTTTCTGATAGTTGCAGCAACGAAAAATTAAGACGATGAGTGATTTAACCATAGACTATACTTCCTCCTTTCTAAAATATAGCGCTTCCTCTATTTTATATTATAAATCATTTAATTTTTTTTCTAGCTAGTCAAACTTATTTAAGTTTGATAAAAATATATCAGCATTTCTGATACAAAATAAATATATTATAAAAATATATTCGATGCTCGATTAAATACAACTAATTTGGTCTCTCTTGTAATTTGGACAATTTCAGATGATCCTAGTCATCACCATTAATTGACACATGCTGCCAGTCACGTTTGTTATTTACACTCGCTGTTAACCCTAAGGCAAACTACATATCCTGCTATTTGGGCGAGCGGTGGTGGGCCCACCGATCGAGGCGCCATGTGAGGGAAAAAGTACATCGAATGTCACTCGACTTGACATCAAATTATAAAATCGTCCTCCAACCGCAAAATCAGATATGTGATGTTTCTTAACTTACAAAACCGGGTCACATTTGGTCCCAAAGTAGTATTGCACCCGGTTTTGTCCTACTTGGCGTTGACTCAGCAAGGTGGGTAGTTAGGACCCCGTTGTACTGTGACACCTCACCCCCTCACTCCTCTTTCTTCCGAAACCCTAGATTGAGCCGGCTTGGGTGACACGACTGGTGTCGACGGTGATTTGGAGCAGACGGTGGTGGGAGGGGGCGGCGGAGTGCGTTGCGGGTAAGTTCGTGACTGGCTTGGAGCTGGGTGTGGTCACTGATGAGCTCGAGCTCGACTTGGAGCTAGGCATGGCTTAGGATGTGGCGGACCACCTTGGGCGACCTCGAGGCCAAGTTGGAGCTTCGCGCGACAGCCAACAAGGGTAGTGTCAGCAAGGATTCCCCCGTAATCCGAAGTCCGAAGCAATTGGTAGGTATTCCCTTTCCTCTCTGTGGCTGCATGGTATTAGTGGGATGCGGGAAGAACAATTTTAAATATTGTTAGATGTCTTTTTTTTATCTTGGATTTGGTGTAGGTTGGGAGTTATTTAGTTAGTGTTGTACTTGATAAGGGGATATTTTATTCGGCATTCTGTGCAAAAGTTGGGATTTGGACTTGTCATATCTGTAGCAGAAATTTAATATCACCCTAAATCATTCTATTTTGTTGTTCTGCATGAAGGGGTTCGATATCATGGACGAGTAACACTCTTGTGGTTAGGTTTCATATGAAGGGGGTATATGTTCTAGATGGTATTGAGAAGAAATATTGTGATGGATTTAAGGCACTGTCATATATAGATTGAAATAAGGTGTCATTGCCTGAGTTATCTGGACACCAGCGTGAGCATTGCAATGTGATGACTAGAACATTGCTGCACTGGTTGTTTCCTACGTAAGCATTGCTGCACTGGAACATTATTTGGACACCTGCATGAGCATTGCAAACATGTTTTCGTGCTCTTTATGATTACAAGGCTTGCAAATTGATATGTGATTGTACTGGTGAATTGGATGTGGTAGATGTGTATGTTGAAGAGCCAGAAATTATTGATTTGTGTGATGGGTCAGATGATGACAGTGATTATGAGGCATACATGGAATTAAAAATGGACAGTGAAGAAGAGTGTGCAAAAAAGGATGTTGAAGTAGATGTATCCAAAGGTAAAGGAGTTACTAAGGCTGCTGGTAGTGGATGTAAGGGTAAAGCAATGGTAGAGTAAACACCATATAGGAGGATAGTGTTGACCACTTTGAGTCAACACCCATTGATAGCCAGCCACCTTCTGACGGTGAACCTGACAGTGATTACACTCCAGGGGATGATGCTCCTTTAGATGATGCCACAGCCTGATTTTCGTTTAAGGATTTATAAATTATTTAATAAATTATTAATCGAATTTACAAGTGAAGTTAAATGTGGGAAATAAAATTTCCTAAATGTAAAGCATGGTTGGATTTAATTTTTATTAAATTCTCCATGATTAATTATACTCTCTGGAATTTTCTTGGATTTTTCAGAGCTCAATTCTTAATAATACAAAGAACAGTTTAGCAATTATTTAAATAATAAATTAATCATTAAATGATCTGGATATTATTATATTAAATACTTTGAGTGTCCAAGTATGTTCAAGATTTTTCTTGGAATTATTTGAGCATTGAAAGTATTTTTAACAATTGAAAGATCATCTCATTGGTTAATTTATTTGGAAAAGCAATAAAATCATCCTTCCTAGTCTTGGGCCGAATTCAGCCCATTCCCTCCCTTCCTCTCAGCCCGGCCGAAAGTCTGTTTTGCCTCCCCCGCGCTACAGTACTCCATCTTCCTCCTCCAGACAGAGCCGAGCCAGCCGTGCTCGTGCACAGTGCCGCCGCCTCCTCCCACCAATCCGACCTCCCCGTTGCTCCTCTTTCCAAATTAGTTGCGGGAATGGAATCCCCTCAATCTCCTCTTCCTTTTCCCCAAGAAATCCCCAAAATTTTCTATGGAAATTCTTTCCAATTTCGCGGATCAAATCCTTCCTTTTTCCGGCGAGAACCCTAGACTTTCCCGAGTTTTTCCCGTCGTTGTGGGCTTGATCCCGAGCTCCCGTGCCTATACAAAGGACCCCCTAGTCGTCCTCTCCCTATCCTCTCATTTCCCGTCCGCCGCCGTCGCCGGAAACGCTCTCCCCGCGCTCTCCTTCTCTCTCCAAACGCCGGCGCCGCTCCAGCCGTCCCTAGCCGCCGCCTCATCTGCCTCCTTCCTGCGCCGTCACCTCCATCGGCTCCGCAAGGTCGAGCTCCACCCCGGCCGCCGTTCCCCTTGCGCCGAAACTTCGCCGGAAGCCGTCCTCGCCATGAACCAGTGGGTTGCCGTCATGTTCCGATCTCCAGCCGCAGCTAGCAGCCGCCTTAGCCGCCGCTTTTGGTCGCCTCTGCCGCCGTTGGGTTCGCAAGAAGGAGAGGGAGCCCGGCAGCCATCTCCCTGAAGCCGAAATCCACCGGAGCTCCATCATCGCCGTCAACCCGAAGCTCGCCGTCGCGTTTTGATCTCCGGCGAAGCCCTGCTGCTCCTCCCGTCATCGCCAAGCTTCGCCGCTGCCTCCATTGGATTCACAGCTGCGAAGTGAAGCCCGGCCACCCCTCCGTTGTCGCCGCACATCGCCGGAAAGTCGTCGCCTCCGTGGACAGTACCTCGCCGCCCTTCGAAGCTCGTCGCCGGCCATCTTCCGTTGCCGTTCGTCGTCGCATAAGTGGTGGTAAGGGTCACTTTGATCCCCTCTCGCTCCCGGTGCCCTCCGTTTGCGTTATTGTGCCGTGATTCGCCGGCAACCGCCGCTCCCATGCCGTTCCCAGTGTAGTTTATCCCTAGGGTCTTAATCCCATCTAATCTAATCTAATCTTGTTTGGCCCTAGTGTCGTCATCTCCATGTGTTGCCGCCGGTTCACCGTCGTCATCTATCTCTCCCCGATTGGTTCGGTGGGACGTCTATCCGTGTCTCCTTGGTTTAGATTTCAACCCATCGGCCGCACTTGCCAAGCCGCTTTGTCACAGCCGCAGCCGTGCCTGTTGCATTGTTGTTCGCCGCGCTGCTGCCCTAGCCCGTGCACCGTCGCTACCGGATGTGCCGCTGTTGTTTGCTGTCACCGCTGCGCTAGTCGTCTAGCTGCCGTTGTGCCGCTCCCTGCCACAGTCGTGTTGCTGCTGCTGTGCGTAACTGCTTGCCGCTAGCTGCTGTCTGGCCGCTGTGCTGTGACGTGCCATTGCTGCTGTACTGTGTCGCAGCCGTGCGTCGCTTAAACCTAGCCGCCGCTTTAGCCCGTTGCTCGGTAGTTGAGTTGTCTAGCTGTAGGTGCATCCCTAAATTCCTGCCGGCCTATCGTTTGCCGTACCGGGGCTTTACCGTGAATTGTGTCTAGCTCACCGATTTAGTTGCAGCCGTTGCTGAGTCGTTCGCTCATTTGTTCGAACGAGGTGTTCCCCGTGCTTCGTTCGTTCGTCCATGTTGAGTCGTCCTTTAGTTCAGAGCCGCTGGTTCCGTTCGCCGGTTTCGGTTGATCATTTGGGTGATCCCGTGTCACGTAGAGTTGACTCGTTGAGTCGGTATCTCATGAGGCTCGCTTGCCAGATCAATCTAAGTCATCCGATCTTGGTCGACTCGGTCAAGATTAATCTCAGCCGCCCAAAATCAATATAAATCATTTCCACTCTTTCCAATGGCATATTAGTTCTTTTTATCATATGTCATCTACCAAATATAATCTAATCTTTTTCCGAAGTTTGTTTTAATCTTTCATCTCCGTTATAAATCATCTGTAAATGGTTTAATTAATGTGGAATAGTCTTTTTCTTTAATAGGTTTAATTGGAATTAAATCTTGTAAAATTCGTAATTAATTCATACGAAATCGGAATGAGACCGTTCAAGTCTCTAAATTTATCTAAAATCATGATCTACATGTTTGTTTACTTTTATGTACTGTTTATTTGGTTTTTATTAGTCTTTTTCCTCGTTTTGTGTGTTAGCTTGTCGTTTATGTCGTTTCGAAGGATTCGTGAGGTGTTGGAAGTATTCAAGAAGACTAATTGAAGACCGAATATTGCAAGGCAAGTCACACAGATCCCAAACACAATTCCTTTGAGCATGTTGATCCTATATTTAAATTCTCTATTTATTTGAACTGTGCATTTATTTTCGAATGTCACCGGGTGGTGAGCCTTTCCCATTTAATTATGGCCAAAGATGACTTTATTTTCCTATGGGTTATAATTTGATTAGCTAGAACCTTATATATTGGTTTGGTTCAGCTAGATGCTTATAATAGATGCTTAGCCATGCTTAGAAACAATAGCTCACTAATGGGATAAATCATGCTTCACTATCACTTATGGATATTTAATGGAAGCTCACGATGGTTGATCGTGATTGGTTAATTAATTAATTTGCCAACTAAAACTTGATAATGGTGGGTTGTGAGCACATGGTTTTGATGGTCGTGCTCATGACAATTAAGGACCGGTTCACGAGTTTCGGTTGTGAAACATTAACCGTGCCAACCACAAGCCAGCGTGGACAACGGCTTTACCTTTTGTATAGCATGGTTCATTGCGGAGCATCAGACTGAGAAGTAGCGGAGATAAGCCTACGGGGGTCGCTGGGGAGTCCATGCCTTGTTTATAAGGGGGTGATTATGATCCAGGAACGGTGCGCTATGGTGGATTGTGTTGTGCGAGGGGTACTGTCACAGCTCCTTTCCGAGGTACCGTGGTGGTATTGAGGCGCATGGTGACATGTTGTGGGGCTGTGTCTTGTGGGTACAGTGGTACACCTCTGGCCAGAGTAAAACTATTCGAATAGCCATGCCCGCGGTTATGGGCGGGTCTAACAATGTCTTTCGTGATTAGTCTCACACTTCTCACCATAATAAATGATGCTATAATTGGTAATAATTTGATTAGCTCCTGGTTTGGAATGGTATATTCCTGGTTTGGAGATAGATCTGTACAGCCGGGTATGGTCGTTCAGGATGGTTGGGCCTGAGCAGCATGGGTGTGCTGTTTAGTGTTGATTAAAATTGATGATTAATTACTCTACTGTTTTATAATCCTCAAATGTTTGCTAAATGCTGCTTTTGCAAATGAGCCCTATATTATGCCATTCTTTGGTATCCTTGTGCACTTGCATATTTGCTGTGTGGCTTGTTGAGTATGTCATATGCTCACCTTGCAATAATCAATCAAACCTCAGTTGAAGACAAGTTGCGAAGGAGAAAACGTTTGGCTTATACCCCAGTTGAGCTGCCTGTGGGAGTGGAGCCAGAGCTTCGCTAGACCGTAATTCCGCTGTTGTTTTTCTTTTCTTTTGTAAGTATTTACGTTATTATTATGATGAATCTGTATATTAAATTGTCAGTTTGTGTACCTCGGCTGATTCCTGGACGAGGATTTAATGCACAAATAAGTTCGGAAATTACTAGTGAATTTCTGGGTGTGACAGATGATGAGGAGGAGGCTGCTGAGATAGAGAAGCACTACAAGGAGACTAAGAGAAAGGTGAAGGCAGGGCAGCTAGAGGACCTAGATGATTGTTTCTTGCAAAGCCAGAGGTCAGAACCGACAATGCAAGCTAGTGATGAAGAAGGGAATGGAACCCCATATGCAGACAATGATGAAGAGGAGTTAGTAGAGGAAATTGGTAGTGATGGGGAGGTGAGAATGAAAAGTAGTCAACATCCAAGGTACAAGAAGAAGGCATGTGTTCCTACATTTGAACCTGGGATGAAGTTCAACTGCAAGAAGCAATTGAAGAAAGCTATCACAACATATGCTCTTGCTGAGAAGAAAGTCATTAACTTTGTTAGGGATGATGCCAAGAGGGTTAGGGCAAATTGTGATTGGGGTAGCTATTCCCCGGGTATGTCTTCTTTCCAAGAATTCAAGGTCAGACAGTTGGCAGATAGTTATATTTGAGAACCTGCATGCTTGTCCACCTAGGAGGGATAACTAGATGGTTACCTCTGTTAGGATTGCTGAAAAGTATGGTAACTTCATATCTGTCAATCCTTCTTGGCCCCTGGCTGACATGAAAGCAATAGTCAAAGAAGAAATATTTGCATAAGCTTCTGTTTTTTTTTGAACCAAAGACAGTGGGGGAGGCCCCCACGGTATATTAATTTTCTAGAAATATGTACAAAGAAGGAAAAAGGCAAAAAAGGGAAGGAAAAAACAGTTAAATTACAATTGATCTATCCATGATTGAACTAGGGGCCTATAACATTCTTTGAGCCTAATTAAATGTAAGCTCAAATCTAACTTCAAGTTCATCAACCAGTTTTGCACTGAGAGTTGGATGCCTTGGAAAATAAGTCCATTCCTCTCCTTCCAGATATTCCATGAGGCAATTAAGAATAGCTCCATAAAGCAAGGATGCAAGACAGCCACTTTTTGAGCCTGGATCCTTTGATGAAAATCCAAGTTAGGGTTCCATGTCCATCCCAGACGACTCCAACAAGCCAAACTAAAAGGACAAAGGAAGAACAGGTGATCTCTAGTTTCTCTAGCATTAGCTGAGCAAGAGAGGCAAAGGACTGAAGTATTGGGTGGCGCATAGTGTTTTCTATCAAGGAGATCCCTTGTATTAACCCTATCCATGAAGAAGAGCCACCTAAAGACCTTTATTTTCATATTGACTTTGGACTGCCATATCCATTTGATAGTAGGTGGGGGAGTCAGAGCTAGAAAACTGAGCTTGTAACAGAGCTGCGAAGTGAATTTCCCTGATCCCCAAATGAATGTACATGAATCATCAACCTCCGTAAGGTAAGAGATTGGAGATTTTCTTGCATGTCCATATATTCATCAAACGCTTGTTGCGAGAGGGGTAGGAAGAATTGATCTTGGGGGCCTCTGGCCAAGTGTTGTGCAATAGAATCATTCCCGTGCTTTGCGAAGGAGTATAAACGGGGATATTTGACGGAACGTATAACTCCCTCCCATAAATCATCCCAAAAAAGAATAGCTATCCCAGAGCCTATAATTTGTTTTGCAATGCCTCTAAACAATATATCATACTGAAAGATGTCCCTCCACCAAAACGAACCACAACTTCTCACAATCTGAGGAACTGTGTCCTTGTAATAAGAGGACCAAATAAGATTTACCCAAGGTACATGAGCTTTGCTGTAAAATTTGTGCAAATGTGTCATAAGTAGGGCTCTATTTTGGATTCTCAAATCAATCTTTGCATAAGCTTCTGTTTCAAAGCTGAAGAGAGTAAAGTGGCTTTTTATGAAGAAACACTTAGATGCTACTAGGGGGCAGTACCAAAAGTTGTTCAATTATCAACTTGAGCTTCTCAGAAGTAACCCTGGTAGCATTGTGGTTGTGAACAGGGAAATTGGCTTGAATCCACAAGTTTTCAAGAGAATTTAGATCTACTTAGATGCATGCAAAAAAGGATTCTCAGCTGGATGCAGGAGAGTTATTGGACTAGATGACTGCTTTTTCAAGGGAGCAACCAATGGAGAGCTTCTATGTGCTACAGGGAGAAATGCTAACAATCAGATGTATCCTATTGCATGGGTAGTGGTTACCAAGGAGAACAATGAGTAATGGGATTGGTTTATGGATTTGCTTTGCAGTGACCTAAAAATTGACACTGGAGCTGGTTGGGTCTTCATTTCAGACCAACAAGAGGTAATATGATCACACACTAATTCAGTCCCCTCTCATTTTCCATAACTAATTCAGTCCCCTCTCATTTTCCATAACATGTTCCTGACTCAATTTTTTACTTGCTATGCAGGGTATCCTTAATGCTGTGCAGAAATGGGCACTTGAGGCTAAACACAGGAACTGCGCTAGGCACATGCTAATCGGAAGAGACACTTCCATGACAAGCAATTCCAAAAGAAGTTTTGGAAGTGTGCAAATGCTCCTTGCGGGATGTTATTTAACCTTGCTAGGGCAAAACTTGTTCAGCTGATTCAGGCTGGAGCACAACCCATCCTCAACACACATCCTAAGCAAAGCATGGTTCAGGTTAGATTCTAACTGTGACTTAGTGGACAACAACATGTGTGAATCTTTCAACAAATGGAAACTAGAATCTAAGTTTTATCTAATAATCACAATGCTTAAGAAAATTAGGAGAAAAATGATGGTTAGGATCAGTGATCAGAAAACAAATGGTGCTAGATGGACAACTGTTGTATGCCTAGGTATTCTGAAAAAAACTTAATGTATACATCAGTGAGTCAGCTTTCTGCCATGCCATTTGCAATGGAGGTGATCGTTTTGAGGTTAAGCACCATGAACATAGATTTACAGTACACATGGACAAGAAAGAATGCTCCTATAGTTACTGGTAGCCATGCCCTATGTAATATCATGCATCTTTTATAGAACCAACGAGCTAGATGACTACATTGTACCTTGTTACTCTGTGGAAGCCTTCAGAAGTACATATGTTCTTGGCCCCAGGATGATAGAGAGCCACTCAATACTCCTAGATACATAAAGATGCCAGGCATACCAAGGACTGGAAGGAGCAGAAAAATGCATAAACCACCCAAGCCAACAAAAATGTCCAAGTTTGGGACAGTGACCAGATGCACAAGGTGCAAGCAGGTTGGGCACCAAAAATCTTGGTATGCAAAGCATAATGTTGCCGGTGTAGGATCAAGGAGGCCGACTAGAGAGGGGGTGAATAGGCGGTTTTAAAACTTAATGGCACTTAAACAAAACTAACATAAGTTGCTAGGCAAGGTGAGGTGCAAGGTTAACTAAGAAACTAAGTTAAGTTTTGCAAACCTAAGTGATATGGGCTCAAATATATCTCTATGAATGTAAATAGCACAAATGTAAATGCAACAAATAAATGAGACAAGAGACAAGGAATTTTTCACCGAGGTTCGGAAACTCGCCGGTTTCCTAATCCCCGTTGAGGCGAGCCCAACTCCACCGCTCAACCACGAAGCCACCGCACGCCCCCTTCGTCAAGGGGTGGGCAAGGCGGGAGCCGGCCCACGGAGAGGACTACCCAAGCCTCGATCACTCGGGGTAGTTCTTCCTTCACTCCGAAGGTGGTGAACTCCAAACCACTCACAAACGGTGCCGGGCCTCCTCCACAATCTCCTCGGAGAGGTCACCGGGCAACACCTCCACAAGCCGTCTAGGAGGCGGCAACCTCCAAGAGTAACAAGTCTAGGATGCTTGCCGAGGATGATCAAGTGCCACACTAGCTATAACAATGAAGCAATGCACTTGGATTGGCTTAACTCACTCTCTAACACCTCACTAGATAAACTAAGTGCACAAGGGTGTGAGAGCTCTTGCAAGGGGGGTTCAAGATAATGCAATGGAGTGCCAAAACCTTACCCTTGCTGCTGGGGAGTGGGTATATATACCCCCAACCACCAAAACTAGCCGTTGGAACCGAAATCCCCAACTTTGTGCTCTGCCGGTCAGACCGCCGTTGTGAGGCCGGTCAGACCGGACTACTTTGTAACGGCTAGAAAACTAGCCGTTACAGGGCAATCATTGAGCCCACTCAACCTGGCCGGTCTGACCGCAGTGTAGTGGCCGGTCAGACCGTCCACGGCTCGGTCAGACCGCCGTCGGCTCGGTCTGACCGGTTGCGGCTCTGGCAGCTCTGTATCGCCACCAAAAACCAGACCAGTGCAACAAACCAGTGGGGCCGGTCAGACCGGCCTTACCACGCCGGTCAGACCGGCTAACAGACCCGGTCAGACCGGCCTAATGCCCACGGTCAGACCGCAGGTCACTTTTCAGCTCAACCGACCGTTAGTAAAACGGCGATATCTCTTGACTCGGGTCTCGGAATTTGGCGTTCTTGGACTCTATGGAAAGCTTATTCAAAGGGCCATCCAACCCATGAAAAATCCATCCAAGAAACACAACTTAAGTCAAGGATAAAGGGCTCACACTCCAAAGGATATCCACCGGACATACCCACAAGATGTCACTCACTCCTATTGGACATGCCCACTTCTCTCTTGGTTTAGGACTTGAGAAAACTCATCACACTTGGTTAGACAAGCCCACAAAATGCACCTACATGCATATGAACTAATATGGCACAAGATCATCCACAAGCTCGCTTCATAGACCCCTCTTGATAGTACGACGTCTATCTAGCAAATCCGGTCTACACCAAACACCAAGACCGGGAAAAGACTAAGAAAACATTCTTAGCTACATTATACCTTTGCCTTGCGCCATCCATCTTGGGGTCAAGCTTGAGCCGAGATCAACACTTGTGACCATCCGGTTGAACCATGTTTATGCTGAGGTCTTGTCCATCCTTTGTCAAGACTTTATTCTCATCACAAGCTTGACTTCATTCTTGTTAACATGACGATGTCCTTGGCTTGATGACCACTAACCCATGGTGTCATTCATTAGCCTCATCATAGTGGGACCTATTCCTTTTCACACCTCAAAGGAGAACATTAGTCTCAACAAATCGGTTGTCATCCTTCACTTGAAGACCAACCGGTTGCATATGAAAGATATGGATATGTTTGTTGAGTATTCATTAACTTCACAAGTGTCATATACTCGTATGCAAGCTCAAGTGCAAAGATCCGATATAAATAATAGGTGAACAACATGGATCTAGAACATGCACAATAAATGTATAGGATTTGCTCCCCCTAAATATATGCATACAAATAAATATACAAGAGATGCAAGTGTATGCATAATTAGAGAATGACCAATGGGGGTTTATCCTATACATATAGAGAAGGCATATGTAGTAATGATGTAGACCAACATAAAACTTATACCTTCATGATCTCCATGTTCTCAATGTAAATGAGACTAAATAAGATAACATTCGAGTAAACATTAGTCTCACACTTATATATCAATAACATGGAAATCATATATATGAACCTATCAAAAAGTAGGAGATAAGAAGTGGTACATATCGTTTTATCTCCATGCATTTCATCCTTGTCATGATTAAGGTCCATCACAAAAGAATGCATGTCTTCCACATCTCATTATCGGGAAATAACCTAGTAGACAACTTATGCAAAAGAGAGGTTAATCCCATAAACATCGGTTTATCATCTATCACCAAAGTAACAATTACACAAATTGTTTAATCCAAGATCTTTCAATCTTTTCTCTCTTTGGTGATGGATAATAACCCGATATAAACAATACAGAGAGATGAGATGAAAAATGATTTCAAATCAAGATAGAAATCTTATAATAAACAAAATATAGAATAAGCTCCCCCTCAAGATGTGCATACATATGGATATGAAGGAACACATATGCACATAATCAATAAAGATCAAATAGGAAGCTCACACTATATTTTGGATCCACAAGAGAGACCAAGTTAGAATATGTGAAGTTTAATACATACCTCTCATCATTTTTACTTCCATATCCAAATGAGACTAGTCAAAGAAAGGCTCATAAAAACGTTAGTCTCATATAATTAGATTTGTCATTAATCACCGAAACCAAATTAAGGCACTTGAACTTATAGCCGGTTTAGGCATAGTTGGTTCTTAACCAGTAGTATCTCCAGGTAGAGCTGGGACTTGGGCCCTGCTTTCTCGGGCCGGTCCAAGGCACAATGGCCTAGCACGAGGGAAAGCACGGCCCAGCACGACACGGCAATGGGCCGGGCTAGCACGGCCCGTAGTTGGGCCATGCTTGGGCTAGCCCAGCACGAAAAAGGCTCGTAGGCCCGAAGGCCGGCCCAGCACGAAAAAGGCCCAAAGGCTGGCCCGAGCTCTAGCCTAGCCGAGCGCGCGAGGAGTTAGGAGTGCGTGCAATTCGGGCCGGCCGGGAGGAGATCAGGAGGCAGGAGCGCCGAGCCGCCGAGCGCGTGCGTGCGTGGTGAGACTTCAGTGATGCGTTCAGTAACTGATGAGGTCAGCCGGCGGCTGCGCTGAATACTGATCAGTAACTTATGAGCAGTGCTTTCAGTCTTTCAGAATTCAGAGAGCCGTGCATGCATGGAAAGCATGATTTTTTTGGCTAATTAATTCTGGGATCACTTACCATTGGCGATTAGTATCGTGTATATCCACTGTCTAGTCAATTAAATTTTTGTTTGTGTTTTTTCAACTTTTTAAATGGCTAATTACCTGTGTCCTTGTTTACTGCAATGGTGCATGCATGGAATTATGGAAAGCATGTTCATTTGCGTGGAAGTTCAGAGTTCAGACGCATCGAACGGTCGAGGTGTCGACTGATGACTGATCATTGGTCGATCAGTATTCAGCACGGAGGAGTCGTTTAGTCACGTGTCATGGGCTCATGGCACGGCATGGCCATTGGTCGATCTGTCATCAGTCAAGGCGTCGAGCCGCCGAGGAGTCGTTCAGAGTTCAGACGCATCGCCGGCTGATAACCGAGGAGGCAAGGGAGAGGTGAAGAGCCTGGCGCCCAGCCCTAGCATACCCTATATAAACCATACCCATTTTTTTTGATTTCAACACACTTCTTCTTCTTTCAACACATCTCCCCACCGTATCTATTTTTCATAGAAAATATGCGGAGGTCCAAAAAGCGTCAACACGAGTCAACAACCGGTCCATCCCAGAGGTCGGTCGATGCCCGACAGCTATCCCTGGGCATCGATGACTACGGGATGCATGATCGCCACATGGATGGTCTGGAGGGCGACGACGATGATCAGCCATCTCCTAGCGAGGCCAACTTCTCCTTCGACACCAACGCCATGACGTTGCCCACACCAAATTCCAATAACCAGCCATCTGCCAGAAGAGCGGAGTGTTGGCAGCACTTCGAAGTATTCACCGAGATGGTTGACGGTAAAAGTATACCTCGTGCTCAATGCAAATATTGCGACAAAATTTTGTCTGCAGCTACTTCTTCAGGGACAGGCCATCTCAACCGGCATTACTTGGCGCATCTCAAGAACAAGGCACCGGCAGGAGCAAGACAGACACAATTGTCCTTCGGCTCTGACGGTTCTGTAAGTACATGGATCTATGATCCAAAAATAGCTAGAGAAGAGATTGCTAAGTTTATTATTGCTGAGGATCTACCAATTAGAATGGGGGAAAGCAAACATTTTGAGAGAATGATCCAAAAAGCTTTTTGCCCACAGTACAAAAAGGTTTCTAGGAAAACCACCAAGAACGATATTACAGCTATATATCATTCTAAGTTGAGTGTGTTGAAGCAAACTTTCAGTACTACTAGTTTTTCATTTGCTGTGACATCGGATATCTGGACATCCCAACACCAAAGAACATCTTACCTTAGTGTTGTTCTTCATTATCTTGACAACAATCGGTCATTAAATAAGAGAGTCATAGGGTTCCAACTCATGACGTCACACACGGGAGATGCCATAGCCACGACAATCCTAGAGGTATTGAGAGAATTCAATTTACAATCTAGGGTTGTTTCTATTACTCTTGACAATGCATCAGCAAACACAACGGCCATATCGATTTTGGAGTCGGATCTGCGAAGTTATGTTGGAGGCTTCGTTATTCATCAGAGATTCATTTGTCACATCATCAATCTCATCGTTCAACCAGGTAGTAATGTTATTAATAATTTATTGATTTTAGTGTATGCGGCATATTGCTTATTTATTTTAATGTATGCGACCTATTTGTTTTGCAGGCATAATTGTTCCGGATAAATTGTTAAACAAAATTCGTCATTCTGTTCGTATCATAGGAGGTAACACAGTGGTCAAAGCGAGGTTCCAGGACTACTGTAAAGCGAAGAAGAAACCTGGACGGATGTTTGGCATTGATGTCAAACATAGGTGGAACAAAACATACCTATTGCTGCGACAGTTAAAAGGGTAGGAGGAGTTAATTTCTGTTTTCATCAATTAGATGCATGTCAGAATGAAGGATACAACTAGACAATTATCCGAGAGTCTGTCCCCCTCCCCCTCCCCCCCCCCCGCATCGCCCACGCGCAGGCGACACGGGGGGCAAACCCTACCGCCGCCACCGCCGCTCCCCTCTCCCCCTCCCTCTACCTCACCACCGCCGGAGCTCACCGCCGGCAAAGCCGACTGGCAAGCTAGGATGGCGGCGGCAGGGCCTCTTCCGCGGCGGCGCCCCCTCTCTACGTGGGGGAGTTGGCGTTCGCTGGTGTCAAGGAGTGCAGTCAGGGAGGCCTCCCGGTTAGGCAGCGGCAGATCCGGCACCGCTGTCATCGGATCTGGGAAAGCTCTGGTGGCAGCATCGTGGGGTGGCGCGATGCAGCGGTGGCCGCTGCGGCCCGTGGCGGCTCACGGGGCAGCACGATGGGTGGTGAGGCGGCGGTGTTCACGCGTGTGGTCAGTTGCCGGCGCTCGCGGTGCCGTTGCAGCGGCTGCCAGCTCCGGTGGTCGGCGGCGCGTCGGGGTGAGGCGGCGTGGCTATTGCAGCGTGAGGGCTTGTGCGGCGGCGGTGTTGCTTGCATGTGGGTGGTGGCCGGCATGTGGGCGGCAGAGGCCGTCTCTTGTGGGGCTGCGGCGGCAGCTGGCTCTTGCGGTCGCGGCACATCGGGTCATACTGGGGGGTGTGCTAGCGTCTCCGGCCACCCCCATTCCCCTGAAACCACCCTCTTCTCTCCTTCCTTCCCTCCTATCTCTCTTCCTCTCGCTGCTGTCTCTCGGCACTAGCAGTTGGGGGAGGCATGCGTCTCCCTTTCCTTCCTCCTTCTTTCTCTCTTCTCTATTTGCCGCCTCTTGGCACAAGCTATTGGGGAGGCCGCCCCCCTCCTCTTAGTTGTCTAGGAGCCTTGCTGATCACCCCAGTGCCCCTCTCTCTGTGCTGGTGGTGAAGTTGGAGGTGGTTGCTGCAGTCGAAAGGTTCATCCCGCGAAGCCTGGAGCTCCTCACCGGTTACATGGTTGACACCGATGCCCATTTGCCCTGCTTCCAGCTCTCAGTTCTTCCCCAGGCCTGCCTGCCTCCTTTCCTCCTTGTTGCTCCTCCCTTCTTTTGGTAGTCTGCTTCCAGATCCGGCCGTGGAGTCTCTCAGTGGTTGAGGAGTTTGTTTGTCCGTGGGGTTGGTCCAGTCTGACTGTAATCAGGGCTTTTGGGCCTCGCCGGTGCTTCTTGTGCCCTGTGACCGTGTGAACCTGCTGTATTTCCGAGTTTGGACCGGAGTGCTTACCTCTAGGGTGCGAGAGTTCTTGTGTTAAGGCGGAGTCGGAGCTGCTGCATCGGGTCAGCTGATGAGCTGGGCAACGATAACACTCAACACTCTTACTTTGGCTTCTTGGAGGTCCTGCACCTTTTGTGAGAGTGTTGGGTGTAAGCCTTGCCTGGTCTTTCAGGATCAGCAACATCGACTCCTACGGGTGCCATTCCCTCCTTGGAGGTGTTTCCTTGTGGACTCTCTCCCACCTTTGGGTGAAAACCCAGTCCAACTTTTGGGCGGGCGTCAACAATGGCTTTGGTCGTTGTTCACCTCCTTGGAGGCTTCGCCTTAAAGGTCATGCTCTTCCCTCGGTCTCTTTAGTGGTTCGTAGTTTTGTTACAGGCTTTTTTGTGTCTTCTGTGTAAGGGTTTGCCAGTTTCCCCTTAGCAAACCATGCAGTTGTAAGGCCCGGTTTTCCTTATAAACAGGGTCAACTCTCTTCTTCTAATATATCCGGTAGATCTCCTACCGTCTACTGTTTCAAAAATATGAATGAAGGATACCGATGACAACGGCGATGGTGAGATTGTGATTCTCACCAATCATGAGTGGGAGATCGCTACACGTGTGCATAAATTTCTGAAGCCCTTTTATAATGCTATAGCTCAATTATCAGGAATTTACTATCCTACATCTTGTTTGGTGCTTGAGTGGATTTGGAAGCTGGCACTTGTTTTTGATGAAAACCGTTCTGATCGTATTGTCTTCCATTGTTAAACCCATGGAAGAAAAATTTCTCAAATACTTCACCGCTATACCTCACCTTTATTGCTTTGCTTTGATACTTGATCCTCGCAAAAGTTGGAAACCGCCAAGGTTGCCATGAACTCAATAGGTGATGCAGTGGGGCTTGATTATTCTGAAGCTTTTCAACATGTCAATGATGAGCTCTATAGGGTTTTCCGTCTATACCGAACCAAGCTTGGTGGTACTCCCCGAGTTCCTGAGCAGACCTCACAAAAGAAAGCAAGCAAGTCAAGTGCAGTAAATTTGTGGATGCAGTATATAGGCAACGACCAAGCCTCTCCATCCTCAGAGAACAAATCAACATGGAACCCGGATTCAGAGCTTAACCACTACCTCGCCACCAATCATACTGAGCATGATCCGACGCTTGATGGCCACGATGTCGATCTCCTTGGGTGGTGGAAAGAGAAAGAGCGAACTCTTCCTGTGTTAGCTCACTTTGCTCGAGATATTCTTCTGGTTCCAGCCTCCTCCGTCTCTTCCGAGCAAGCATTCAACGTTACTGGAAGAATTATTGAAGAACAATGGTCATGCCTGACACCCGAGACGGTTAAGTCAATATTTTGTCTTAAAGACTGGATGGAAGCAGACGAACTAACGCAACACTGTCTACATGATCAAGAGTTTGCCGATGCAATGGAAGACGCATTGGCGGAAATTTGCCTTACCAAAGATGATGGTGGTGTTGATCTGGAGTAATTGATGGTATAATGTAAAATAGTTGTTGTACTCTTTTTTCCTTACGGGGAACCCTACTTTAGGGCGTAAGGTTTTTAACGAGGCAACAACTATATATTCAAATTATTAACATATATATTTTCCCCCAATTTTATTGTCTCAAGTTATTTACGATATTATGTCAATTCTAATTGTGTTCATTAAGCCATGTACATTATTATCTCATTGTTTTTTCATTTCCCCTCTCTTATTTTTTCCCTCCCTTATTTCAGTTTCCTCTCTCATTTACCCTGATTTTTCCCCTGTTATTATTTCATTTATCAATCAGCATCGGGCAAAGCACATGGTCAGAGGCAAAAACCCTAGGCACCCGGGGCGTCGGGAGTCGGTCCTCGGCGGCAGCGGCTCTCAGCGTCGGCAGCCCTCGGTGCGGGCCGCACGGCGTGGCGACAGCGGCTATGCGCGGCTGCGCGATGTCGGTCCTCGGCGGCGGCGGCGGCTCTCGGCGTAGGAAGCCCTCGGCGCGGGCCGCGCGGCGCGACGACAGCGGCTATGTGCGGCCGCACGACGTCGGTCCTTTGCGGCGGCTCTCGGCGTCGGCGGCTGGCACGGGCAGCGCCGCAGGGAGCAGGCGGCGGCGGCGGCGGGTCGGCGCGGCCGCGCGGGCCCCGGCGAAAACCCTAGGCACGACACGACTCCTCAGGTAATTCTGGGCCGTGCTTGGGCCGGCACGGCTCGAAGAGGCCCGACATGTCTTTGGGCCGTGCTTGGGCCTTGTCTTCTCCACCTCGGCCTAGCATGGCCCGGCACGATTAGCAGGCCGTGCTGGGCCAGCACGGCCCATTCTAGCACGAAGCACGATGGGTCGGGCCGGGCCGTGCTAGCCCGGCACGGCCCAAGTCCCAGCTCTATCTCAAGGTCAGCAAATGGTGTTGTCAAGCACAGCAGGGAGTTCTGCTCAAAGCACGAAGACGAAGACAGTCACCCTGTGTACAACAAGTACAACCCAACAATCCATGGCCCAAAAAAAAACCAAGAACAAGGTATGTGCAAATCTTTCTCCCTTGCAAAGTTTACTTGTAATCACTACAAGTTCAACATATGCAAATATATTTGACTGCAGGCACCAATGGAGACCCAGGAGCTGGTCAGGGTTAAATGCCAAGGCTAAAGTTTCTATAGAACATGGTGGTTCAGCTAGAGTTGATATGCAAGCCATAGTTCCCCATTCCTAGAGCTCTACAACTTCATATGTGAGACTCACATTTGGCAAAGCATCTGTTTGTGTCTCAACTCAAGAACCTACACAAACCAAGAAAAAGAAGAAATCTGGTGGGGCACTTCTTCTTCTGCCCCCATGGGAAACTAACAAGCTCTGAATATGGCACGTTTACTACTGTTAGAGTAATGGAAGTACTTGTTTTATGATGTAATGGCAAGCAAATTAGCCCAGTATTTCAGCTTTCTTCGTAGTGAGGCCAGACTATTTGGGTTAATATTCCAACTATGTGTGATGTAATGTCAGACCTATTAGCCTAGAACTTCTGCTATGTTTGTTGTGATGCCAGACAATTTGGCTAACTATGCCACCTATCTGAGATGTAATGTCAGACAATTTCAGTTGCTTTTGTATGAATGATGGAGAAAAATATTTCAGTTCCATTATGCAATATCATCCAATCTTTCTGCTTGTTTGCAAATACCAAAAGTGCCTTGTTTGCAACTAGCTGAAACATATGCCATTGTCATGTTCAAAAATTGAACATTTGGTGTATTATTTAGGTTTGCTGCACAAATTGCACATATAAACCATTCATTCACAACATTCATTCCAAATGGTTACCACAACTCAGGATACATATAGTTCATGAAAAACATGTTGTTTCCAATGCATACCAAACACACGATCTTGTTCACAAATTATAGACCACACATCAAATAATCTCAGTTCTTCCCAAACAACAACACAAACACCACAAACAGACATGACAAAACACAAATTACAAGCACATTTCTCTCATTATCTAGCTTTTGGTTCCTGGCCTTCAAACTTCTAATTTCTTCTTTGTTCAGAGCAACCACACTCCTTACATCATCTACCGCTTTCCTCTGTTCTTCCCCCTATGCCCTACTCTGTTGAACCTCCTTCCACAGCACTTCGTTTTCCCTCCTCAACGAAGTCACAGCGTCTCGCAAGTCACCCGAACCTAGAAATCACCCCCCCCCCCCCCAAAGCAACAAGAAACCCTACATTCAACCCCGAAGAACACCGACTGCGTATATGCAACTTCATCTCAAAATCAGCCAAAATCCATCATTTACTCGACCGTTTTGACACTTATAATACCACCGCGCAGGGTTGTCGATGCTCTACAAGATCCACCCTCACCGCCTTGGCTGGGCAACGACATCGACACATTACCGCAGGTTGGTAATCCAGAGGACCAACCCGACAAGGCACGGGAGAGGCCTTCGACTGACAGGGAAGAGGCTACCCAATCTCACATCATCAACACGGTACAACTGCAGCTAATCCGTGGGAGAGGTAAGAAACATGTTCCTTGATATGGTCAATAGCACAATAGCTTAGCCAAGCTGTAATCCTAATGACAAAGCTTATAGGAATTCTTCAACAAGACGAAACCTGCACTTAAGATGCCATTCTGGTAAACAAGTGCAAACACAATTAAATATCAGAAATTGCACCGTGGCACAGAGGGTGAAATAGGGTCCTAGGCCCCAAATCAAAGCTACAATGGCATACAAGTAATCATGTAACCAACAATGTAGTAACACTTCAATTAAGCAATGCAAGGTAGGTTGTCCAATCAATCCTAAACCCATAATTAAGTAACAAAATCAATGCCAAAAATATATGGAAACTCACTGTATTGTTATGGTGAATCTCCTCAGGGAGTGAAGTCTGAAGAGATGGGCAGCAGTCATGTAAGTATAGTGAAACCAATAAATGATCATTGTCAGAACAGTGGCACAAAAAATACTACTATGTGCAAGTAACAGTGAAGTATGTGAGAGAGAACTGAACGCACTCCAGCATATATGTATACAATTGTGAAGCTAGCAGATATACAAAACCAGGCTCCAAACAGGGAGATTCTTGTTAGAATGTCCATTTGAGAGAAAATTAGCAGGATTAAGAAAACATAGCTTGTGAAGAGCATTGATGCCATTGGCAGCTTTCTAGAAATTATATCCACAATCATGGCCGACAAAAATGATCCTGGCCTCTGTACTTGAAGAAAGCAGGGCAGCATTTGTTATAAAAATGAGAATCAAATGCAGTTATGCATCAGAATAATTAGTAACAAATGGCAAAAACCGACCTGCAAAGCTTGAGAGAAAAAACATTTCTGTATAAATCTACATCGTTTGAGTGTATGGATTCAACCTCTGCTTTTGTGCATATCCTATTCCCATTTAACACTGATGTCAGCTGAACAATTCTATGTTAGAAAGAAGCATTTCCAAAGAAAGCTATCAAATAGAGCAGGGTTTGCTCTTATCAAGTTGAGAACAATGACTATAGAATCTAGAAATAAAATCTGTAGGCTGCAATTTCGGCCAACTTTCCTGCCAAACTTAAAATGTAAACATTATGGTTTTCCCCCTCCATAAGATTAGAACTAAGGCACATAAAATAAATACAGTTTTACAATCTTAATTAATACTGTTAGCAGAGCAAACAATGGAGAAATATGGTTATTGTTAAGACTTATGAGGGAAGTGCTTCTGTTTCAACACTATTTAATGGTATACAACTTAGTATCTTGCTGTCTAATGATTCAGATTCGCAGATTACAAACTTTATACAAACAACAGGGAGCAAGGTAAATCACTGAATCAATCGTCCAAATCTCACCATCCAAATCCTTTTCTTTTTCAACACCAAGTTGGAGATAGGGACAAACAGAAACTTACCTCAGTCAGCCCCAGCATTGCCGCTGCCACGGCACAACCTCCCTCACCAGTCACCACCGGTCCTACCTCGACCAACGTAATATTCATCCCATACCCAGAGACGGGCAGCTTGAGCTTGCGAAGCACTCAGAAGGCCTCGGCCATGAGCCGGGCAGCTTGAGCTTGCGAAGCACTCAGAAGGCCTCGGCCATGAGCCCCCGAAACATGTTGACTGCAACGGCGGTGCACCACAGGAGCCAGGGGCAGAGCTAGAGTAAAATGAGAGGGGTTCCCAACTTTGTTTTGAGTATAGCGCCATGTATAGTTCTAAAAAATATTATAGTAAATAGTTGTGCATCCAATAACAACAAACACCAAATCTCTAATTTATGGCCATATACAAGTTAGAAACTGCTTTACTTCAGAAAAAAAAAGGATGAATAAGGATGAGAGTTGAGAGAATAGCTTACTTGCTCTGCTAGTGCTCTGCTCAGTTGCTCTCCCATTCTTCTGATGTGACAGAAGGAATACAATTATTATGGACGAATTATTATGGTTTTACTTCATATAAACCCTAGTACACTTATTTGGAGGAAGTAGGAGTACCCAATAAAAAGTACTCCAGTGTTGATTGTATCAAAATGCAATAAAGTAGTGCTGTTTGTATCAAAATGTTTGGTTACCTTCACACACATGACTGTTTCCCAAAGTTTTGGGGGCGTAACAAACCAACATATGCATTGCTCGAGTCTTACTCTTATGAATAAGAAATCATCCTCTTAAGTTCCCATTTGTGATCCAACATTAGAAACTGGAGTACAATGTTCTCTTTTTTATTACAGACTATAATGTTTTTTCTTTTTTAAAAAAACCTTAATTATTATACTAACTGTTGTTCATGAACATGGAGATGTCAATCCATAAAAGAAAAAGAGTAACCCTGGTGATGCAAATTGAAATCTCATCACAACAGCATATGACGAGAAAGAATAAACGGCACAGGAATCGCACAGAATGAAATATAGTAACCGATCGATTTATTCGGCATGATAAGATGAGCGTGAAAATAAAGTAGCAGCAGGAAAGAAAAAGCGACATCTCATCAGAGCAGCATAGCATAGATCGATGATGAAAACAAGAAAGTTTTGATTTGTCCGACTAGACAGGCAAAAACACTAGTAGCAGCAGTGTACACTAAGAGAAGAAGAAAAGAAGAAAAAGACTAAGACGACGACGACGACGACATAGGTAGGCAGCAGTAGAAGCTAAGGATGGACGGATGGATCATTTGAGAGGCGCGGGCGGTGGCGGCCCGCCGAGGAGCGCCTGCTGCTGGAGCTCGAGGTCGTTGAGCTGCTGCTCGCGGTCCATCTCGATGATGAGCGGGACGACGAGGACGAGGAAGGTGGTCCCCGCGATCCAGGCCGCCTTCCCCGTGCTCCGCAGCAGCTTCTTCGCCATGGTCGCCGCCTCGCGCCCATGCGCCGCCACCGAAGACCGGGAGAAGGAGGCCAGGATGCCCTCCCCCTCGCCGCCGCCGCCGCCGCGCTTGCTCAGGGATGCCATTGCTTTCTCTCCTCCGCTTCGCTTAGGGTTTCCTTTCCGATCCGATGGAGGGTGGAGGCCTTGGCCTGCCTTCTTATTTTCCGATTCTAGGTGGGCCGTGTGGGCCTTAGCGCGCAGAAAGAAGGCCTATGACAGCCCATATTCGTCCTCCATCATAATTTCTCAATTTAATTACTCCTATTAACTACTCAATCCGTCCCAAAATATAAGCATTTTTAGCATAATGGTAAGTTAACAATTTTTAACTTTAACTATTAATAGTAAAAAAATAAAAATATATATATCATGTAAAATTGATGTTACTCGATTTATCATTAATCAAAATATTATAATATGCAACTATTTTTATTTAAAATATTTTATTCTTATAGATATTGTTGGTCAAAGTAGTATCTTGAAGACTGTATCGATGTCAACAAAAAATACTTATATTTTAGAACAGAGGGCAATGGCGTTGGAATGGGATATCCAAATAGTATTTTATATTCTTATATATAATCACTATTCTTATTCATGTTACATATAATTATTATTCTTATTCATTGTTTGTTTTTCCCTTTTGCTATGTACTCCGTACATCCCTAGAGGTTTACGCCAACAGGCAATCACTGCTATAGAAATGGTTTTCACAGACGGACAGTAACATATCCAATACTATCGGTCCCGAGGGAGACAAGACCCGAATGCAAAAATCGTGGCCTGCCTATAAAATATTTTTATTTTCGCCGATGGATAGCTAGGAGACCTGCATGCAAAAGATAGTACTTCCACACAATGATTCGTATCATAGTATCTTACGATACTACGATCCTACTAAACCAAAATGATACCGATCCTATCTAGTATCAAAATTTTCATAGTAGCTCGATCCTACTATTTATTACTACACCATCCTACGAAATCTTAGGTGGTATCCTGATTCTACGATCTCTACGATACTACAAAATATTATTTAAAATAAGATGGTTTGAAAAAATGTAAATAAATATGCTCAAGTTTATATAGAAATCAGTTAAATATATTAAAGCCAACGTGGTTTCTCTTGATAAATATCTATATTTGTATGACATATATTATTACTATATTTTTTATATATAATGGCTATATGTGATTAATATAAATATTAATTAAACTTAAAAAAAATAAAATCTCATAGTATCCCAATACTAGGATACGATAATACTTTGAGCAAAACGATACTTCTAGTATTCCGATCCTGACAACCTTACTTCCACAACATAAGGACTCTTTTTCTTAAGTCTTCACCCCTCTCCTCCTTCCACTAGAGATGGCAATGGGGACCCGATCACCGATTCCCCACAGTGAATTCACACATTAGAGGATGGGGATGGTTGATATCTACCCTCAATAGGGGATCTAATGGTCCAAAACCCATCACCATCGGGGATGGCGGGGCCGGGGACGGTGCACCACTCACTCACCGTCCCCGTCCCCCGCGGTGACCCTCATTTAGCGTAGATAGGAACCTATTTTAGACTTTATAGTCGTTTTGGTCTATAAAATTGATGTCCAATAACCACGTGTGTGTATATTCTAACCATAATCCTCCCTTTCCCCTCTCCATCTTCCTCTTCACTCCACAGCGCCGCCGCGGCCGCTCGAGACTCACACGCGTGCGTCGCCGCGTCTCCTCGCGCGGGCGAGGTCCCGACGCCTCCGGCCATCATCGCGACGTCCGCCGCCTCCGGCCATCGTCCATCAACGAGCGTGCCGCCTCCAGCCGTCCTCGGCTCCTTGCACGGCCGTCTCCAGCCCTCGTCGCGCCGCCCGTCGCCTCCAGCCCACGTCGCATCGCCCGCTGCCCCTAGTCGTCGTCGCGCCTCCAGCCATCTGCCAACCATGGCTTCGGCCTCACTGCGAGATAGATCGATCGATGGGGACATGGCTTGAGCCGTCTCTTGCAGCTTGTGCCGCCTCCGGCTGTCCTCGCGCCACACACGCCGTCGCCAACTCGCCACTCGCCAGCACGCCGTCCCTTCTTTGATTCTCTCTACGGGAGTAACCACGGGGATTAATTCACCGCGTGGTGACGGGGTGGGTGAAATTTTTAACACCACGGTGACGGGGACGTGGACGCGGATGTAACCCCAGGTGGTGAATTCCCCGTTGCCATCTCTACCTTCCACCCCTCTTTCCCTCTCCCTCCGTATCTGCTCATCTTCTCGGGGCGGCGGGACAGAGCTTGGTAGCTGTTTGGCGGGCGGTGGGAGCAGCCGATGTTGCCGACCCTGTGGCGGGCGGATCCGCCGCCGCCGCCGACCCCCGCGAAGTGGTGGGGCGGGAGCAGCTGGTGGTGGGAGCAACCGATGTCACCGGCACCACAACATGTGGATCTGCCATCGTCGGCCCCAAAAAATGCCACGAGGGAGTAGCTAGTGGGCGATGGGAGCTGCCGATGCCGCTGGCGTCGTGGCAGGCGGATCTGTCGCCGTGGGCTCTGCGGCGGGTGGATCCGCCGCCCCCGCCCCCATGAAGTGGTGGGGAAGAAGCAACTGGTGGCTGAAGGAAGAAGCTTGCGGGCGGCGAGAGTTGCCAACGCCGTTGACTCTACAACGGACGGATCTGCCGCCACCACGGCACCACCCCACGATGAGCCAACAATAAATCCACCCAGCTTTTAAACACTTCAGAATATGCAGGTTCTCTCTTATGCGACAATGCCACTTTGTTGTCTTGTGTTGAGACACATGGCAAATTAATCAATTCAGGGCAACAAATTAACGTAATGCATCTGTATTATCATGCACGTACAGTCGAAAATCATTCCATGAATCCATAGGACATAGGAGGAAGATGATAGATATCCAAATTGAGTTGTTGCAACCAATATATTGGGCTCTGTTCTTTTGCCTGGGTTAGGAACCATCCCTCTAGCACAGAAAACGAAGCAGTTCATTAGTGCATGATTAATTAATTATTAGTTAATTTTTGAGTAAATTGCATATTGGGCCACCTTTCTTTACCATTGTGTCAATTTGGACTGGGGATAGAACAATCTTTTCACTTTGGACCACCTAAATTTACATGTTTGTTTTATTTTGGGCCTCTTCTTCCACATCCAGCTCCCTCTCTCTTATCTTTGTTTCTTCTCTCTTTCTTGACTGCAAAGGGCTAGAGGAACCACCATGAGCAAACCAACAAGTGATCATCAGTGCTCGTACCGAAGCTCCATCAGCGTCACCTCCACGCGCTTGGAAAGAAGATCGATCTCCCTGGTTGTTGGGAGGTCAAACTCCAGCTCGAGGTAGAGTATAACAACGGGACTTGAGATAGCGAGGCATCAGCAGAGCTTGAGAATGAGTGCGACATGTAATTCAGGTAGGCCAGAGAGAAGATCGATGGAGTTAAAGGTGGAAGAGTGCCCCAAAATGAAACAACATATATAGGTGGTCCAAAGTGAAAAGGTTACTCTGTACTTGGTCCAAGTTGAAACAATGGTAAAAAAGGTGGCCCAATATGCAATTTACTCTTAATTTTTTTTTAAAAATGGATCAATATGATTTTTTTAAGCAACTTTCATATATAAACTTTTTATAAAAAATGCACCGTTTAGCCGTTTGAAAAGCGTGCGTGCCGAAAATGGGGAGGGAGAGTTGGTAACCTTGACATATGAGCACAGCCAGAGACGCATCGCTCTCAGGTGGCCAGGTGGGTTGTGGGTCTTACCAAACGCCCTGATGGACTATCGCTGAGGGCCATATGGGCCTGTACTTGGATAGGCAAGCCAACAGAACGGCATGCATAGCAGCAGGCAGCAGTAGCAGCCCGACTGCCTGTAACAATAAAGTGCGGTTTTCATACATACGACCGAATAAAAGTAAACTACTTTGTATCGGAGACATCATGACGAACGAAAAAAAAGATGAAGATATAAGTACAGAACCATCTTCAATTTTTATAATAGATAAAGATTAATGGGTTTCCTCATCCTCCTCCTCGTGGCGGGGCAAGGCAGCGCTTGTGCTGCGAGTGAGAGTAGAGGGAGAAGGAACCCTACTCCACATTGCTCCCTTCTAATTGCATGCACATTTGCTTTTTTTATCTCCCTCTCTCTCGCCCCCTCCCCCTAATCCATCGCAAAACCTTTCTTGTGTGTTGGGAGGAGTTTGGTTTGATTTGGTTGCGCTCAATGATGTTGCTCTATCAGTCGTTGTCCAGAAAAGATGGGAAGAAAAAAAAACTTTTTTCTACTTCTGTGCACTACTACTGAAAAGATTTTCCTGGACATGGACCCTTTTAGATTGCGGGCGGGCGGTAACTCGCACCGCACAGGAAAATCGGCACGCAAAAATGCGCCGATTTTCCCGTGCGGATCTATCAAGAGAACCGCATGGGAAAATAGTTTCCCTCCTACCCACTTCAAAATTTTTCCTTTTTCTCTCCTCTCCCCCATCCGCGTGGGCCTAAGTTCCCCCTCTCTCTCTTATTTATCCGGTTGATCTATCTCTCTCTATCCTCCCTCTCTCTCACTCCTCTCTATCCTCTCTCGATCTCTCTCTCACCCCTCTCTATCCTCTCTCGATCTCTCTCTCACTCCTCTCTCCTCGATCTCCTCCCGGCGGTGGGCGCAGGCGACGGCGACAGCGGCGGAGGCGGACGGCGGTGCGCAGCGGCCCCTCCCCTCCCCTCCCTCCCCTTGCAGATCCGGCGGAGGGGAGGCATGGGGGTGGCGGTGGCGGACCACGTGTGGCCTGCTGTAGTAGTAGTAGTATAGTAGTACTACTACTACTACTAATAATAATAATAATAATAATAATAATAATAATAATAATAATAATAATAATTATTATTATTATTATTATTATTATTATTATTATTATTTTATTTTGTGAACTTAAAGTGTGAAAAAGATAGAAACAGAAAGAATGGAGAGGGTAGTATATTTTACTGACCAAAGGGGATATGATAGACATGCACCTGTGAATAGGATCGTAGGGACTAGTTAAAAAAATGGACAAATAAATGTCCAGGAGGTGAAAGCTATCCATTCCTCTTATAAACTGGGCATGTGTCTCCTTAGACCCGAATGAAGCTTCTCCTATAAAAGCCTCCCAAAAACCTAGGAATACTACTCGCACCATAGAAGCCAGCGTGAGCACAGGGCAAGTGTATTGTTACATTTTAATAGTATTCAGATCTAGCAAGTAGCTAGTAATAAGCTAGCTAGATTAGCCAAAATTTCTTGTGGTACTAGTAGGCTGCTACACTTACCATATTTTTTTAGGGTGCTTTTTATGATCCTGTGTACTAAATGTAGTAGGAGGTAGATATATTAGTGCGAAAGGTTAGTACTTGTAGTGGCTAGTACAGAGACTAGTAGTTACTAGCAAGCAGCTGTACTCCATGTTGGTTTTCTTTCTGTCTATGGTGCTAGTAGCTTATGTCAGTGGCTAATGTTCTGCATGAAAAATATAGATATAAATTAATATCGAAGATCTATATATTTGATTAGGTGGGACGCAGAGAAAGAACAACGGAAGACAAAGCAAGACCGCACCCATTAACTATTTTACTATGACTAAATTTGTTTACCAATATTATATTGAAATGGTGATACTAAGAATCTAATAGAAAGTATTATGAACACCCGAATAATGTATTGATGATTTTATCAGTGAGAATAATAACGTGATTGTGATACTTAGCCTGAGACAGCCGATACCTGAAATAACGATATCGGGTCGGCTGATATCAATGTGAGATAAGGAATGCCTCACACAAGTAGGGAACCCGGCGGCGTGATTCTCAGATGAGGGTATCACTAGTTGAAGAGAAAAATGGGTTAAAGGAACGAGATTACTACGATTATTTTAATACCTCTGCAGTGTGGATTTAACTCATTTACTATGTTCAATGTCCTTTATTATTTATTGGTTGTTAATATCTATAGGTAGTAGTATTTTCTTTTGTCTTTAAAACATATATATAGCTATATGTACTAATCTTACTAAGTATGTATAACATACTCATATATTATTATTAGAGTAAATTTTATAAAACTACAGATACTTTACACAATCTATCACAAAACTACAGATTTTAGAACTAGTTTCACAAAACTATAGATTTAATGTCTTTGTTTATAACAAAACTACAGGTACTTTGAATAATATATCACAAAACTACATATTTAAGAACTTGTTTCACAAAACTACAGGTTTAATATCTTTATTTATCACAAAACTACATATCTAGTGTCTCCATTCTCACAAAACTACACGTTTTAGCAATGTGAGAATGGAGATACTAGATATGTAGTTTTGTGATAAATGAAGACACTAAATGTGTAGCACTGTGATAAACGAATACACTAAAACTATATTTTTGTGAAATAAGTTCTTAAATCTGTAGTTTTGTGATAGATTGTACAAAGTACCTGTAGTTTTATGATAAATGAAGGCACTAAATCTGTAGTTTTGTGAAACAAGCTCTTAAATCTATAGTTTTGTGATAAATTGTGCAAAATACCTGTAGTTTTGTGAAATTTACTCTTATTGAGTATATTACTATTTGATGTGCGCAGAAACTAGTCAAGATGAGATGTCAGAGGGAAATGGTGACATGCAGACCTAGTGGAGAGTGTGGTCTACTTAGACTTTAGAGGTATCCCAGAGGACATACTTGCATGCTAGGTATAGGGTATCGTCCTAGTGACAATAAGTTGGTAAGTGAACCAACCGATGTAATATGCAATATAGCTGGTGAAAAAAAAGTAATAATAATAAATGGAACCACTGTAGGTGTCTAAGCTCCAGTTATGATGGTTAGACATTGCATTTTGCCTTGTATCCTTATGGACATATATAAATATTAGTATATATGCGTATAAGGATACGGTAGACTGTCACGGAAAAAAAATATTTGGGTCATGACACGGCCCCTCCCCTCTACTCCCCTCGGCTCCCCTCCCCTCCCCTCCCTCCTCTTGCAGATCCAGCGGAGAGGAGGCATGGGGGCGGCGGCGGCGGCGGCGGGTGCAGGTGGCGGCGACGACGGCGGCCCGTGGCTTCTCCCCTCCCTCTCCCCTCCCCGGTAGCGATGGGAGCGGGCAGCGGATCCGGCACCGGCGACCGCGGGGGCGACGGTGGCGGGCCTCGACTAGGGTGGCGGTGGCGGCTGGATTAGGGTTAGGGTTTGGTTTTTCTTTTTTTTTTGATTTTTCATTTTCCCGTGCTGGCGGCTTAAGCGCCCGCGTCGCCCGCACGAAAAAATCGTGATTTTCGCAGACACTTTCTTCCAGACGGTCGAATGCTCTGCACGGGAAAATCCTTATTGTAGTAGTGGTTGTGTGTTCTTATGCTAATACTCCTTACTCTTGTTGAGTAGTGCTATGTATCTATCTATACATACATATATAATATATATTGCAGGTCACATTACAAGAGGAAAGCAGAAGCAGCAGCACATGGCTGAGTCTTAACAAGTCATCGTTGCTTCTTCAGGTATTCGATTCCATCAATATTTTCTTTTCGTATATACCGTGTGTTTGTTCCTAGATGAACATACCATTGCGTGCGTATGTAACAAAAGTCGAAACTATCAGTTACCTCATTAAAATGTGCATGTTACCTCTCTGCTTGTTCTGATTGTATGATTTATTGTTGGGATCCTTCAGGTGGGCAGCTAACCGAGAACATGGTCATCACAGGCTCACAGCAGCCTCCATGCACTCAGAGTCGGAGGTTGCAAGAATGAGTTTGGATCTTCCTCTTCTCAAGATACTCAAGTGGGACACTTTGTGGAACTTGATGTAGCTTCATCCACTATGGGTGAGGTGAAGATATATGCCACTGAAATGCAATTTCGACCCTTTGAGGTTCTCCATTAATTTAGACAAGGTTTCCAAAATGGTTGAGGATAAATGTATCCATTCATACCAGATCCAACCTCCTGCCTTTTTTGTTACCAAGCTGATGAATGAGGTATGCCAATGTGCCGTGCAATTGGCTTCTGCGAATTCTGAAATCCGTAGTGATGGTGCAAACTTGCAAAAGGAGGCTGTGGACACTGATATTCCTTTTGTAAAGCCAATTTCTTGTATGAATGCTATAGATGGGAACAACAATGTTGCTGGAGGATTGTCGATGCTTGTTTCCTCAGGAATTATTTTGCAAATCAACCAAAAGTCTGTAATCCATACTTCCGGGCAAGTAAAACAGCAAATACATGACCCATCATCCGTTCATTCACCCATACTGATGAACCAAAAGTCCGTCATCAGAATTCCACACAAGAAAATGGACACATGCAACTAACACTTCACTAGTGATTCACTTGTGAGACAACGATTACTAATCCTCGAATCCTCGAGATTCAGAACTTCACAACGGCGGCGGTGTTTGCTCCATTACTGAGCAAAGCGGCAGCTGGATGAGGGGATGGCGAGGCAAGAGTCATCAAGCGTGGAGTGGGGCGACAGATGCGGCGATGGCCGAAGGGCTACCCTGCTGATGTCGTGTGAGAGAGAGAGACGATTAGCCGAGAGAGGGAGACAGGGAATGGAGATGGGATTAGGATATGCTGTAGTTGACTGCACCGCGCCTTTATCACTAACATGTGGACCCAGAAATCATTGGGCCCACATATCGGCATACGCACATACAGTATAGAGAAGAAGGGGAAAAGAGGGATCGATCCATCTAGGGTTGCTCTTTCTTTGTGGGGCTTTGCACTTGGGCTTTTGAGATTAGGCTGTTAACTGCTGGGCTGGGCTCGTTTGGCTCTTAAGCAGCTCGAGTTGGCTCTATAGCTAACGAGCTAAAACCGTGGCTCAGCTCGTTAACAAATTCAAACAAACCGAGCCAGACACGAGTCGAGCAAGATAACTAGCCACGAGCTTTTCATCCAAACCTAGTTAAGTGGCACTTTTCTCATGCGTATGTGTCGCCCGTTAAGACTAAATAGTGCGATTTTGCCTCATAAAAGATGGGATGTTTTGTTTACACATAATAAAAAAGGAATTTGACTAATATACAAGGCGCATTGTGGAAGAGATCTCAACCAAATATTTACTCATGCAGCCGCCCTAAGCAAATCTACTGATCTACATGATACACTAGAGCTAGCAGAGGCTATCAGCATCCTTCCAACTACAATTTGTACACAACTTTGTTAATGGTGATATATATATATCAGTTAATTTCTAATTTGCCAAAGGAAGATTTGTCATCAATCTTCTTCCCCTCTTGTGATGTCTTTTTCTTCTTCCGGCTATTTTCACCTGTTCCGTTCCTTTCATTGGTGGCGTGTAATTTTGCACATATTGGCTTTGGGTATCTTGTATTCCGATCAAATCCTCTAACACAAATATATCCTGCAAAAGAAAAAATTGCAACATAATTGTGTATAAGTGATACAAGAAAATGAATCATATACAATTTCATAGAGGGAATCATATTTGTAGTGTAGTGGTATATTTGTAGTGTAGTGGTGGAGTTGTGGGTTGACTCCACCTAAGGCCTGTTCGGTTAATCCCCATGAGAGGGATTGGAGGGGATTTATTCCACACCTATTGTGGTGTGGAATTATTCCCTCTCAATCCCCCCAATCCTCTTCAATCCCCTTCAAACCCAACAATACCTAACAGGGTATCATTATGCTACGCATAAGCGGATGCACTTTCAGTAGGAATTTTCTGAGGTTCACTGATTTATCCCTGGCCTTCAGCTGTTTGAGCTGTAAGATAGCTTTCGAAATTTGTGGGATATGGCTCAACTTCAAACTATATCTTAATCTACTTAATGCCAGTCACCCCTATCCAAACAGGCCCTTATGTTCTAGCTATGTTTATTTTTAATTGTAAGATACCTAGCTTATTCAGTATCTAAATTCTGTCGGACTGTCGAAGACAGAAACATCAAAGAGGAAATAAATCTTACAACCACTTGGTACCTTTCTTGTAGCAGTCCTCAATGTCTTGCCTTGTTTGACCTGGAATTGATGATTACTTCAACTTAGTATCAGTCAAAGCAATTATTTCATGAATCTCAGGTTCGCCTTTCAGCAAACAATACCTTTCATGATCGATTGTATCGACGAGCCAAAATATACAATGCATCTATCTAGGTTCCAGATGCATTCTCTAGGGATGGTAATCGGGGAACGGCTAGATGAATGATCTGCAAAAACCTGTAAAGGATAATATATATAACAGATCAATGTCTAGCCAATATGGTCTTCATCTTATTTATAACTAGTAAATGTACATAAGATGAAATTGGAGTGAAGAGGACCAAATGCTGCAAACCTCATGATCCTGAAAGTAGGTACCATTCAATGGAAAGTTTCCTCTGGTTGCTGTCCGACAGGGTATCTGTTCAATAGTGAGTGCAAAAACTAATCAAAAAGGAGAAAAAAATTACTCATATTATAATCTTTATTAAGTGAAAACTAATTTAAGGTTACATATAGAAACAAAAAATATTGTCCTTAGAATAGTGAGGGTTGTGGATCAACTCGTACTAATTTCCTCCAAACTGAGAACACAGAAGATAAGAAACTATCACTTGTTTCTTATGATTTTGAATTTGCATAAGATGTTTATGACAGAATTTACAGTTGAAAAACCTCTCATTCTACCTTGTAAGAAATATCTACAATTGAATTTCTGTAAGTTCAACAATGTGATATGGTCTCATAAGTTCAAATGAAAATTTTGTTAATTTTGATATTAACTTCAATTTCGGTAACTTTTGGTACAAATATCAACATTGTTTTATATAGATATGCATATCCCCAAAATTCTGAATCTGAGTTTTGACTCTGTTTAATAATGAGCCCATGTTACTTGAGAATCGAGAGCACAATATTATCTTTTACACTGCACCTTACAGTTATGTTCCAAACAAGTGGTTGCTCACCAGAATTGTGCCTTTCACTGTGTGTTCATCAGAACAAGAAATAACAACTAGAAGATAAGGACATGGATCTTCTGGAACTCTATCTTCAAACTGGTAGACATTGCAAACCGGTCACTAAATATATTTCATCATTGTAGTAAAAATTGAACTTACAGGCTCATGGCATACAACATACCTCTTCCAAGATTGCATGATCATCTGGGAGGACGTACCTGTGACAACAACTTATCAAGCTTAGCAAGATACCGTTTGATTTTTCAGGATAATATAGCAGTATATAAAAAAAACAGGGTTACATACGCGTTGTGTTCTGTTCTAAGACGCCCTATGTTTTTCAACCTTTTGTTTTGAACAGAGGCATGCTGTGAATTAATCAAGGCCAAGTCTTTTCCAGAGTTTGGTGTCCAAGAGCCATTATTCACCGTGTGCTTTAGTGAACACAGATCTATTTCAAAATCATACTGTAATTCTGGTATGGTATCTTCAATATCACAAAGATCATCTTCATATAATTCTTGCTCATAAGGTGATTCTTCATATTCATGTTCTGGACTTGGAGGTATCTCAATAATGGGCTCACACTTATAGATGGATTCTCTTCCAGCAGGCATGTTTATTTTGATTTGCGGTTGACATACTTGTTGAAAACCTGCTATGTGGCTATCATTTGACAACAAGAGTCTTCCAGGAGTAGCAGTGCTTGCTTGCTCTTCACCATATTCATGCCCATGCCCCTCTGCAGGAGGGAGTGATAATCTGGTAACAACCCAGTGTCATGATACAGTACTCTAATTTAAATGAGACCAAATAAAAAAAGATCTACAAATCGCAACATATTATGCCCTAAAATAGACATAATAAATATACTATGATAACTAAGACTACTCTTGTTATTACACTGCAGCAAATATAACAACATTCAGGGGGACTTCTAACCTCACTAGTTGCATTATGTGATTGGTTTAGCCTAAGGGTGGTCTGCAATTTAGTTGTGTTGCAGATTTTATGGAATGCTCATAGTTCCGTATAAAAGAAATAACAATTGAAGATACACATAGACTAGAGTACACAGGGACAACTCATTAACATGCTCTTAACAGAGTTTACAACATATGCTACAGTACCGATTAATTTGATCATGCAAAGGATACTACTTAAGCTCTAACAAAGGATGTTACAGACCATAGCAATATTTTAGATCATTCTGATAATCAATTTAAGCAATAACTTCACAATCTATGAAAAATACCTGGCAAGTGAACTGTTGTAGTATTTGCATTTCGCACTGAAAGGGCAAGCCCTGCAATTTGGACTTACTTTTGTGCAGATTGCCTATGTAATGGAAACAATACACAATCAATATTGACAATGTAAACATTTATGTGCCTAAAATGATGCAGAATCATGCTGATCACTGCGATATATATGCATACCTTTCCAAAAGTTATCATGAGGCAGTGTAGTTCATACCTATCGTATCAGGTTCATCAGATGGGATGCCGAAAACCAAAGGTATGACAAACTTTTCTTAGAGGACCAAATGACTTACAATTTTTCCTTAGAAATGGTACACAACCGAGGCCATAAATATTTCTGCACATCACGCATGATTGGATACCTTCACCAAAAGGGAAATATATAAATATATATGTATGTATAAGCAGAGAATTGTAATCATTATTTATAAATTTGGGTGAGGCCAATCTTACAAGCCAACTAAATGGAACTCTGCAGAAAAGGGTAAGGGTTGAAGTTTGACCCATCCTAGCCTTGTGACTATGCGAGCTACATTGACATCAACCTGAAAGGAGCATGCAGTCCTGTCAAGAGATTGATCAATGAAACGTACTCTGTTGACAATATTTGATTTTTCTTTTTAGAAAAATATAACTTACCGGGAAACCTTTATGCTTTAATGACAAAAGACGGATGCAGTCAACACTTTTATCTCCAAGCCCCAGAATACTGATGAGGTAATTTCTAATGCCCGCCAAAAAAGAAGAAGCAAAATATAAGGCAAGTAACCCAGTCAACAACTACGAATTGTTATTTTCAGCTAGCTTGATAGAAGCTCCCTACAACAAGTTCCCTGGTTTTCCTTCAATAATACTTCTGAAGTTCAACGTAACAAATATGGGAAATAGTTCTAAACTTATATACGGAATAGAATTACCATTGTCAGCTATTTACTGTCAGTTCAACATTTTAAAAAAAAGGCATACTTCGCATTTTCACGTTGTACATAGCGTAAAAAAAAGAACATACTAAAAATAGTGTAGGTTTTTATGAAATATGTCCATACTTTGCACTTTCACGTGGTACATATCTAAGCCAATCCAGGTCAAAATTTCCATGATCTTTCTTTACACGCTTGAGAAAAGCCTGTAAAAGGAAAAGGAATACTTTTAGTGCTGTGTGTCAAATGCACAAGAAGAAGAAGACAAGAAATATGTGAGAGTTCCAGTAATATCAAAACCATAGCTTACATGGAAAAAAATGATCTTTCCACTGACAATGATGTTAAAATCAAAATATTATAGGTAAATCTTGGTTTCTTGCATAAAGTGTGGAGTTTTTTTTTCAGGAATAAGGAGGTCGAGCTTAGATCATAGCTGATGTTTCAATCATTTTCTTATTGGATCACATATATTTTTAATAGATACAATTATGTGGATAAGAAAATAAAAGGTATTTCAAATATCAACATGGTCTGTAAACTGCACTTTTGATCATGAATCTATTAATTGCATCAGTAGTAAAATTGTTCTTTCAATGGGCATTTTAAAATTTAAACAATAAATGTTCTAAAATGCCACTGGCCACACATATTGCGAGAATAGAAATGTACCATATATCCAGGGTATTTGAAAAATGTAGTTTAAATGCAAAGTATTAGTCCGTTATGTCATTAGTATGAGACAATGTATAATCTATAATGTATGAAACAAAGTAATAAAACGGTCCATCTTTAAGTTCAGATTTATAAGACCTATTTATGTAGACATGCTGTAAGCAAAGCTTATTTCAATAGACACACATGAAAACAGACAGTAAGTGATTGAAATGCCTACTTAAGGAAATGAATTTGGTTAAGAATAATGTCCTAGTAAAAAAGGATGCTAAACTAGTAATGAAGTAATATTGAATACATAAACCACTTTGAAACTACAGATATATTTAATCCGATATGCTGGCCAAAAATGATACAAAATGGTGATTAAGTTCAATTTTGCAAAAGGTGAATATGTTCATCGCCAGAACGAAGGTATTCAGGAATATCTTCCTGCTACACTAATGTTAGAACAGAGTTTTTTAAACAAGCAAATAGACGTGTATCTTGCAACCTTATACCTGTATCCGCAATGCTATAACATAATGTTGTCCCCTGACTGCAATGGAATTTGCAATCTCAACTGCTGGTGCATGTAGCACAGCTTCCCAATCAGCAGAATCACTTATTCCGGTTCCCTTTATTTTGTATCCCTTACTATATGCTTCCTCCCGTAACTTATCCCAATGAGAAGTGTCTTTCTCCTCAAATGTGTCCATAAACTTTCTCAAGGTTCTATGGGAACATACTGGAGTTCCAGACTTATCCTTCACCATGTTCTCAAGGCGTGCATTGTCCCACGTAGACATGTCTTTATGATGTTTCTCAATAATAGATATAAAATTCTCTATAATTGTACTGTAGTCTCGGCCATAATTACCTTTTACCTCCTCATTGTAACCATTCTCTTTCTCAAAATCGACAGGTTTTGTAAAATCTGAACTACCAGAATCAGTACCATTAGATTGTTCATTCAAATTCAATTTCCGTCTCATGTCATCTATCAACAGAGACAAATTTGAACATGCTTCAGCATTAATATGTCTCTTAGTTGGAGGAAATTTTGCCACCAGGTTCAAAAAAGCATTGCTGCATGTTTATTGAAAATTATAATCAGAAACATGAAATGCAGCTGATAGATTCGCTCCAGCACAAACATGTAAAGTAGACATCAGATTGCGTCTAAGTTTTACCTTGATAAATTGTCAGCGACATTTTGCGTAAGGAAAGTACCCACAACAGAATCAGTTACTGATCCTCCCCATTCAGAAAATCTTCTGGGACCTGACAGAAAAGTAGTTTGGATTTAGAATCCAATTTAAATCTGCATGTTTCAATGAAGCAGAGGATTCCAAGACTCGTTTCATCCCATACGCATATGTTGTATAAAGTGGACGTGAGGCTCTATTGCTTTGAAATCATTAACCAGGAATAATTATTGTACCAACGATGAAAAATGCTGCTGATTTCATTTCCTTGGTTTTTCAGACAAAAACTGAAGTAAATGATTTGATCAAATTATACATCATGCTGATTGGTTTTTTTTTCTCACCGACCTACCCAAGTGATGTTCATACATGTGCTTCCAAGTTTGCTCAGAAAAATGCACCTGATTGATTTTAAGTAATTTCACCCCAATTTAGAAACTAAGAGATGGAAAATAAAACAGCTGGTCACATTTAAATTAAGCATTTCAAAATCTGGAGTGTACAACTTGGCGCAGTTATTGATTGTTCTCTTGTTTAGAACTGTAGACTAATAAATCATCAATAAGTTCATTTCTTACTAAGATATCATTTGAGCCACCAGGATTGCTTAGTTTTTGTAAGAGTTCACAAATCTTCAAGCTTGCGCTTACTTTTATTCCAAACAAAACACTAACATGTCAGTAGAGATTTTCAACATAAAAAGTTCAGTGCTTTTGTGTGATGTGCATACTGAAATATCTCCTGGCTTACTTAGACAAACCAAACTACAAATATCTCCCAGCCTACTTAGAGAAATCAAACTAGTAGTGCATTTTGCTTGTTATGTCTCTATACTTCTTATGTTCTATCATGTGCTGCACACATGTGAAGAGAAGAAAAAAGGAGAAAAAGAAGTTTCTAGAATCCGGACTATTACCCAATAAACCATGCACAGTAGCAATAAACACATCCACGTAATGTTCGAAGTGACGCCGAGTTTCATTCCATTCAGGCCCGCTGCCAATGTCTACACCTTCGAAACTCTCACTATCAGTCTCATCCCACTTCCTCAGAACATTATACACTTGTAATGTCTTCTCATCAAGGCCTAAAACCTTTGTCCGCAAGTTCTTCAAGTGATTTCTGTGGTGTACAATAGCAAGTTGCGTAGAATTCTGAATTGGAACCAGCGCAGATGATGATGTGGCAGCTGGGGCCTTCTGGTAAGGCACAAGGGCCGATTCGCCATTGTCCTGATGTTCTCCAGTCATCTTTTTTCTTTTCTTCCCTTTCTTGCTTCGCTTGCCTGCACCCAGATCATCGCGCAGACCATGAACCTTGGCAAGGCACCTCAAATCCTCCATCAGCTTGGCTCTGCTGAACTCCCTATTGCCTTCAAAGTCCACCGCATCGCCTTCAAAATTCAACTTCCTCCTCACTGATTTATCACCAAGTGGCCGCCTACCATTATCCTTAGCTTTCCTCTTGATCTTAACTTCAACGGGTGTTGCCGTTCTCTGGGCCGCCTTGTGATCTTTCATAATCTTGAATCGAGTCAACCCCTTCGTTGACCTCTTCCTGGGTCTCCTAGGGGTAGCCTCCACTTTCTCCGGCGTAGGGATCGCACTGGCAGCACCTTCCTGCCGTGCAATCTTGTCGCCACATTCACTGACCGGCGGCGAGACAGTGGACTCCTGGGTGCTGGATTCCTGCTGCGCAACCTTGTCTCCGCACTCGCTCAACGGCAGCGACACGGTGGACTCCTGGGTGCTGGATTCCTGCTGCGCAACCTTGTCTCCACACTCGCTCGACGGCAGTGACACGGTCGACTCCTGGGTGCTGGATTCCTGCTGCGCGACCTTGTCGCCGCATTCGATCACCGGCAGCGAGACGGTGGACTCCTGGGTGCTGGATTCCTGCTGGGCAACCTTGTTGCAGCACTCACTCACCGGCAGCAAGACGGTGGACTCCCGAGTGCTGGATCCCTGCTGCGCAATCTTATCACCGCATTCGCTCACCGGTGGTGGCGAGACGGTGGACTCCTGATTGCTGGATTCCTGCTGCACAACTTTGTCGCCACACTCACTCACCGGCGGTGGCGAGACGGTGTACTCCTGGGTGCTGGGTTCCTGCTGCGCAGTCCTGTCGCCGCATTCGCTCACCGGCGGAGAGACGGTGGAATCCTGGGTACATGACGCGCATTCCTCCTCCTCCTCCTCCGGCCGAGACACGGAGCGGGATTGCTCCCCGGCGGCGACCGAACGAACAGACGGGTCGTCACTCTCCACATTACCGGCGCCAACCCACGCCGCCGTAGCAGCGGAAAGGGAGCAGCAAGAAGACCCCTCCGCGTCGGCCTCCGACCGCCGCCGCCGCCGCTCCGCCGGCTTCCAGGCAACGTCGGGGGTCGCCGGCGACATCCCCGACAGAGATCCTGCTCCGAAAAAAAAATCAAAACAAAACGAAACGGTCACAAAACGGAAAAATCCGGAGGAAAATTAACAGCACCCAGATTCCCCACCGCCACTCCGTGGAACAGATATCACAGATCAAGCAAAAACAAACATCAATTCTTGCAAACACCATAACAACCAACAGATTTGCCCCCTCAAAAGGAAAAAAGAAAACACGACGAAGAAGTAACTCGTGAGCTTACCAGGATGATCTAGCGATTCCTCCGCCTCCGCCCCCATCGCGCTGGCTCCAGGGAGGGGAAATCGTGTACGGCCGTGGAGATCGAGTAGAGTTTGGTTTGGTGTGGGTGCGTGCGGGGAAAACTCCGGCGTGAGGAGGGAGAAGAGGCTACCTATCCATCCGGCTGCGTCTGACAGGGGTTTAAGGGGAGTTAGTTGGGGGGAGCTATAGCCGCGGCGTAGGGTACAGTACAGAATGGGATTTTTTTTTCTTTGTATCGAGTCCACCGCACTCGACGAGGATAAGGTAGGTATACCAGTACTAGTAATAAATTTTACGTTTCTGACTATTTCTTCTTCTTCTGGCTGCAACAGCTATAAATTTTAAAAAAACTGTCCGTACTTGTCTCTATATCGAGTACGGTTAATGATATTTCTTTTTCTCTTGCCTCATGAAATCACATCATCTTAACTGTTTTCTAATCTTTAAATAATTAGAGCAACCATAATATTTGAAAAGAAATGCTCCCTCCGTCCCAGAATACAACGAGCTTTAGCCTTGGGCACAGCTATTAAGGAAGCCAATAAATAGACCATACTACCCTCCATGATATGCTCTGGCAGAAACCAGTTGCGTCAGTCACTGGCGTGTACAAATAAAGTGGCAGCACAAACTGAATATAGAGGCTAAAGTGTGAACACATTAAAAATCTACTCAATAATCACAAGCGATAGACAAAACAAAATTTGAACCGCTAAGCGCCAAATATTACAGCTGAAGGCGTGCCAAATCACATGGCTTGCCTGCTTACATAAATCAAAACCAAGCTCAAAAATCACTAGCGCTAGCACACTTAAGCATCAAAACACTCTCCTCCATCCACAACATCCATCAAGAGAGAACTCAACACCATCCATCCACAACCCAACAAATACACGAGGCCACAATGAACATAGATCTGAACCTAGCACTACAAGAAGATGAAGAGTGCGGTGAAGAACATGGTCTCCGACAAGATGATGTGCAAGACGAAGAATATGGTAATGCTGCCCTCCAACTTGATCTCAACCTGCAAGCTGAAGAAGAGAAGTATGGAAAACAACCAGGTATGTGTTATAAAGAACATGATTAAGTTTTTGCATAACAAAGGGATTATATGATGATATTGATTGTGATGAGCACATTTCATGACCAGTGATATGAAAGACAAGAAGATTATACATGCTAAGGATTTTAGTATCAGGAGGGATCATGAGTAGCTTGCTTTCCATGCATAAGTTGAACTTAGTAGTATATGCATACCTCTGATCGGGAGAGGAGTGGCTTTGTTGACGCTTTTCATCATATGCACAAGGCTTCTTTCTTGCTGTCAGGACTTAGGACAAGACATGATAATGGCAGCAATGTTAAAAACTCAAAAATAATATAGGGGGGAAATCAGATTTTAGTGTACAAGTTTACGGACTTCTCCTACCTTATTGCCAAAACCCAGCAAGTAGTAGTAGTATATGGTCATTTTCGTAGTACCGTGCTTGGAATCTAAAAATGCATTTGACATAATCTAGAATCATATGAATGGCATGTAACAAATCTAACATCCTCATTTACACTATACTTGTAATGTACTCATGGCAAGATGAAGAACAATCCCACCAAGCTGAAGAAGGTGAAGAACACGACCAAGAACAAATACAGGAATATCATGTCACTATTGCCCATGATTTCGATCTGAACATGCATGATTTCGATCTGAACATGCAAGTCGAAGAGGAGGATTATCAAGATCAACCAGGTATGGTTACAATAGGCCTAATCATAATAACAACGAGATGGATGTAGTTATGTCCATAAATAATTAAAGCATTATCATAGTGTGAAACTTATTGACAAGGTAAAACTTATTGACACATTTTGATATTTGTAGAATTTGAATCTTATGGTGAAGTCCAACAAGAGCAAGAACAAGCGCCACAAGACCAAGAATATCATGGTGACGCTACTCGTCATTCTGATGTTAACATGCAGGTTGAAGAGGAGGATTATGAGTATCAACCAGGTATCAAATCATTTTTACAACTTAATGTGTGTACAATGTTCACAATTTATGATAAACACATCTATTTCCTCCATATAATCAGTATGCATAATTTACAAAGTTTGAAGCTGAAAGTTATTTTTTGTTCCAATGAATAGATGACGACTTTGCCGTTTATGCCAATCATGTGGATATTGGTTATGGAGTAGAACTAGAGGATTCAGGTAATCGCAGCCCATTTAAATTACATTTTGCAAGTATATATCACATTTGAAAACAGATTCTTGCCTCACAATTTCAGGAGGGGGACAAGACAACATAGATCATGATGTCAGTCATGTAGAACATGAAAGTGTGACCACTAGTACAAGAACTTGGTTGATAGATGAGGATCGGCAACATGTTCTTGATGCATGTTTTGCAGACAGTGAGAACCTAAAACTTAAAAGGGACACAACCACCATTGTTGCAAGCTTGTTTAACATTAAGAAGAGTTTAGTTCAGAGTATTTGGAGGAAAGCAAAACATTGCCATGCAGAAGGTGTTCCTCTTGATCTTACATCTAAAAAGGAGAAATGTGGACGCCATCGAGTCGAAGTGGACTTATCTCTGGTCCCAACAATTCCTTTGAACAGACGCACTACTATTAGAGATATTGCATCTGAGTTGCATGTTAGTAAAAGCACTATGCATAGGAGTTTCAAAGATGGCAAGCTTTGTCAAGAGTCTAACACAATAAAGCCCTTATTGAAGGATGAAAATAAGGAAGGTCACGTCCGATTCTGTGTTTCTATGCTAGATAATGATACTTTACCCAATCATCCAACCTTTAGTGACATGAAAAACATAGTGCACTTGGATGAAAAATGGTTCAATACCACAGTCAAGGTCAGGAGGTTCTACCTACGCCCTGATGAACCAAAGCCATTGAGGACAGTACATAATAAAAATGCAATCGACAAGGTTATGTTCTTGGCTGCAGTTGCTAGGCCAAGATATGATAATGAAGGAAATTGCACATTTGATTGGACATGTGGCCTTTTGTTAAGAAGGTTGGCCTACACTTTTTGATTGTCATAACTTTATTGCTTTAATGTTGCATTTTTATTTTGCTTCTACTAGTAGTAACATTTTTATATTTGTCTTAAAATACTACGAACTGGCAATGAGGAATAGTCGCAACAGGCCTAGGGGCACAATGGTGAAAAAACCAATCATTGTTGATAGAGAAACAATCAGAGAATACTTGGTTACAAGAGTTATTCCAACTATTGCAGCAGCATGGCCTGAAGGAGGGGGGACTATTTGGATTCAACAAGATAATGCCAGGACACATATAACACAAGATGATGCAGCATTTGTCAATGCTGTGGAACAAACAGGACTTGATATTCGCATCATGCAACAACCTCCTAACTCTCCAGACATGAATGTTCTTGACCTAGGTTTTTTTTTGCTTCTATGCAATAATTGACAATACGAAGGAATGCTGCAAACATCGATGAACTAATATCTAATGTTGAACAGGAGTATTTTGATTATGCTGTAGCTAAAGCTAATCGTGTGTTCCTTACACTACAGTCATGCATGATAGGTTATGAACACTAGAGGAGGCAATGGGTATATGATTCCCCACAGGAACAAAGAAGGAATGGAGCTTCATGGTGTTCTTCCAACTAGACTTAGTTTTGATCCCATAATATATGAAAGCGCGATGCAAACCTTAGCTCGGTGATGGATCGTACAATATATGATGGTGGGATGCAACCATGGAATCATATTTTGGGCATGTTTTATTTGGAAGCATTATCAAATGTTGTCATGTTTTGGAAGAAATCTAATGTGTGTGTGCATATGTATTTAATGGTCATGATCTAAATATGAAGTTTGAATGATGATATGCAGTTGTGTGCTCACATGTATAAGCAATTAGTAGCGGTTTAGTTAACTTATGTGTTAAGTAGGTTTATGTTCATCCAAGACTTAGGTGGAGAAGCCAACTGAATGTGAAATTATTTAACATAAAATTTTTGTATGCCAAAATCAATTTTAGAGGCTATCTTGACGACATTGCAAATTTGATTATTACTAGAAAAATGCCCGTGCGTTGCAACGGGTAAAGCTATTTTATTATTATTATTATTATTATTATTATTATTATTATTATTATTATTATTATTATTATTATTATTATTATTATTATTATTATTATTATTATTATTATTATTATTATTATTATTATTATTATTATTATTATTATTATTATTATTATTATATGGTTTAGTTAAGGTGAAATTCACTGTGTTAAATTCGCTTCGATATATATTTTGTTAGAAAATCGTGATCTGTAATTGGGAGTTCGATCGTCTCAAATTAACATGCGAGTTTTTGAAAGAGATTTCTATTTGCAAAAGCGAACGAATTTAAAAACCAACTCCAATATCGACTTGTATTTCTAAAAGCGAACAAATTTAAAAACCGACTCATACACGGATGATATACCAAAGTGCCGGCAAAAACATCTCTAATTTTTATAATAGTAGAGACTAGATCCGTGGTTCAACTTCAAGAACTGATAAGACTATGCTCAATTGATGAATGGTTCTTTTTCAGTAGTACTCCTCTAAGGTTAAGGTGAGACAAAGCAGAGTAATGAAATGAGATAGCTCTGTTGAATTCAAAGCATGCAACAAATCCATCAAACAGGAAACATTAAGCATGAAAGGTCTTAATTAATTAAACAAATTGATCAATCATCCCATGCTTACAGAGAGAGAAGGGCACATATGCTACTCCATTTTCATTTGTTACATGTTCAGACCATCCATCCACATCATAGTAGTTCAGCCAAAAGAGCATTCCATATTTTTAGCCATGATCTCCTAATTAGTCACCTAACATTGCTACAAATACTACTCCTACTCAATACTAATACTACTGCTACTAATACTTGTACTGGTAGTACTACTACTCCGACAATGCATATCCTTAGTGACGTATGGTGAAGTAGGCTGGGAGTAAAAGCCTCAACATACCTTCACGAATTTCAGCAAATTCGTCGATGCCCTCGTCGCCAGCCACTGTGTCATCATCATCTCCTAGGATGGCCATCTCCTCTACATCAATCGGCTCTTCAACGTCATCCATCTGTTGATCGTCCAAGTCGGTGAAGAGGCCGTTGTTCAGCTGCTGCTCTCCGTTAGGCACCCCAGCACCCACTTGCTCTTCGAAGTCAGGGACATCGCTACCACCTTGCAGCTCTGACTTGGGGACGAAGTAGATGTCCTTAGTGCCGAGCACCGCTCCACACGGTGCCCTCCACCACCCACTTGTAACTCGGAGTCGGGAGGGGCGCCGCCGTCGGGATGTTGCTCCACATCGGAGACGTCACTACCATCTTGTTGCTCCAACTCGGTGGTGAAGTAGATGCCGTCGGCGCCAACCACACCACCACCATGCCACCCGCCTCCTCGTCACCTTCCACCACATGGATGTGGTGAGTCCACACTACTTTCATCCTCCGACACAAAGAGGAACCTGTTAGCACCACCCTTCTCTAAATCTTGGACAAAATCGATCTCTTTTACAAAGATGGATACCTTGTTCTTGCCTTTGAGAGACACCCAAAACCCACGCCTCCAGTATTCTACTTGTCGCTGAACGTGGTCCTCTGTAGACTCCACTTACGCTGCGGCTTTCGCCGCCGCTTCCGCCACCCTCCGCTTGAGTGTGCGCCTTCTGGCCATGCACGCTGTAGCCATCTCCAACCGCCGCCGCGCCATCTCCGACCGCCACCTCGCCATCTTCGACCGTCGTGCCATCTCCGACTGCCGAATCGAAGAACCGCAGCTAGAGGAGGGATTGGGGATAGGGGCGACAGAGGAGGGATTGGGATCTAGTGAGAGGATGGTCGGGGATTGGGGATGGGGGCGATGGGTGCCGAGAGGAGGGATTGGATCAGGAGTTGGCGATGGGCGATGGGGGGAGAGATGCGTGCGTGGGCGATGGGTGGGAGGCCGAGCGATGTGATGTGCGTCTCCTCGGGACAGTGGCGTGTGGGTACGGACTGGTTGGGTGGATTGGTGGCGTCTGGGTCCAGCCTGGTTGGGTGGAATTATTGATTCAGGGGTATTATGGGTACTCTAGGGCTAAAAGGTACATTTTGCAAGTACAAGGTTGCTATATTTGGGACAAATCTAAAAGGCTAAAAGTTGTTATATTCTGGGACGGAGGGAGTAACATCAAAATAATAATTGCACCTGTAAAGTGAACCATATACATTGTGAAAAGTAACACTAGCTTAGGATGCACCTTATAATTAAGGTCTATCACAAGCAAAATGAAAGTACTTTTTCTCTCATTCACCTCGCGAGCAAGAGCCGAAACTTTTTCTTTTTATTTTATGTGGGCCTATGTTGCGGCTAAATTTTAACCATAGTATTGTGGAAATTGCTTTAACAATGGTTCACTATTCATAGGTCCCACTTTAAGGTTACACTACACCATAAACATTGAGGTTGCCCTTAATTTATCATCTAAATTATTATCTTTTCTCATAAGGCGGAAAAATTGACCCATCTGAGAGCTTATTACAAGATAGAATATGTGCCACAAGCTTATTGCAAAAACGGACTACGACCTTAGCGGTTCAACATCCCAGCACTTCCGTTGGCGCTAACCGCCATGGCACTATGTTCGAGTCAGCATGGCAGAAGGTCATTACCAACTTGTACAATGTTGAACCCCTTCTCCTATCTTAGCACTAGTTTTGTCAGAACTAAAATCAGGAACCTTAAATCTTTCTCATACTCGTGCCTACCTATCTCTCATTTGGTTTTCGCAAACCAAATTAGGACTTAGGTCGAGCAGGAGCAACTCCGAAGGTGTGTTCTCTATATCCGTTTATTTTTCCTCTAGTGTAGTTATTATTTTCTCAATTTCGGGTTGGGATGCCTTGAGACACCTCGATGCAATGGTTGGATTAAAGTTCTTTATATATTTTTCATTATGGGAATATTAAGGTTTGATTGAACAAACATGAACCCGATGTCACCTTCGCCGTGCATTTCATGTCATCCGTGTTGCTAAAGCGTGTGGGAAAAGGCTACTACTAGGCTGTGATGAATCACACCATTTGTGGCTTCTTTCGCTTGTGAAGCAAACGGGAACTGGATAACAGTAAACCATGCCCCCCCCACACACACATCCCTTCTTTCTATAAAGTTATGGCCAAAAGCTCAAACCTCGTGCTTCCACGTCATCATCAAATTGTGAACCGTTGGATGAATGTATTAGATTGCTTCTCAGACATTGGATGGAATGCAGCATAGAGGCCAACCCATCAGTCACCCTGAACGAGTGAGTCTCTTGGCCTCCTCAGTGCCAAATGTAGCCCACATGAACACATGAGCCCATCTCTACACACATCTACTTGTATCCAGTCCATCAATCTGGCTATAAAAGAGCTTTATGGCTGAACGCTCCTTCAGTTGACATGTGCTACCTAAATTATCTACAAATTTTTGATAGGGCTGCTAAAAAGAATTTCTCCAAGAAAGCTATTTGTTTTATTCTATTTCTTCTTGAGATTGTACCTCTTATCTAAAAAATTGATGTTAACTAAGTCCTGCAGCAACGCGCAGGGCATCCTATAGTTATTTATATTTCTGAGTGTACTTGGCAGACAACCAGCTTTTAATCCACCACTGATCAATTTAGTTCCTGAAAAATCATGATTTTAATCCTGCCGCCAAAATAAACTGTAACCGTTCCAGGGAAAGGGGCATGGTACAATTTTATACCTACCTTCATTTGTTAAACATAGGAAAAGATCAGAATTTTCCATACTCAAGTTTTGGGGCAATCTTGTGTTTTTAAAATTTCTCCTCTTTTCTCCCTAAAATTATAAAATAATGTCCGGGGTGTCCTATAGCCAATTATACGATTTTTTAGTGTCCCTCAGTAGTGGCACGATTTTATAGTGTCTTCTAGCCAATTATTTGTATGTCCTGTGGCAATTTTGCCTTTAATTTGGATCCCCTAAGGCTACTAACGTTTTCATGAAACTACTCATGTGAAACTATCCGTGCACACACCATAATTACTTTAGGTTTTGACCCCTAAACTTAGTTCGAAGATGGAAAAATTATTTTGTCAAACGTACATCATGTGTTTGCAATGTAGCGGTAATTGTCAAAATCATATGTGTTCGACTATATATGCATCACATATGACATATCTTCTCTTTAAATTTTAAATATACATGGTAGAAACTTATATCAGGAAGAATTACATCTTTTGGCTAGTGCGCATGATTGGATGTTGCAATCTGTTGTCTCAGAACTAACATAACTGCGGTGGTAGGGTGGGGGGCTTAGCACCAAACATCATGGCGCTGAGGTTGGGAAACTCAGCTCTAGTCACTTTGTCATTCTTAAGTAGGTCACAAGACAAACATCTCAAGCAGGGTTTCCTTTACCGATTCGAGGAGGGTTATGTAGCCCCGCGGTAACCGCACGTTAACCGCCGAAAACCGTGTGAATTTTGTCAGCAAACATTTGAATTCAAAATTTTGCGATTTTGCGGTTTGGTCGCGGTTACCGCATGGTTTGACGCGATAACTGCGATATTTGTGCAGCAACCATGAGTTGTGTAGCTGAATAGAACATTACTAAAAAAATTGAAAAAACACTTAAATGTGTGTAGAAATTAGGGATGATTAGAAGATTATATAGGATAATTGCAAACCTAACATTTGCATGTAAAATATAAAAATTTGGACCCAAGAGATATTTTCTCCTCTATTGGACCTTAATGGGCCGGTTGCACAGTGCAACTTAAGGCCCGATACTTTTTCCTTTTTTCCTTTTTCTAAACTATTATCGGTTTTGCCCACAAATTTGATTTTATCATACTCTTTTTCAAACAATTTCTTCACCATAAGTCACTAAAAATCAAGGAGTCCATTGGCTACTTATCTTCCTAGTAAATATCATGGTTGTGATGGTTGAGGTGCATCCATTATCCAAGAAGGACCGAGATCTTCTTGGTCATCTTCCTCCCCTCTTCTTGGATTCCATCAATATCCTCGTCACTGTCCTCCTCCTCTACGGGTGGCAACTGGGCAGGGCGGGGGCAGGTTGAGTTGGAATGCCCCAGGCCCTGGCCATGGAGGGATGAACAGGGCAAAACCAGTCCCTGACCCCGATCCCTTCGGGGCCCCGCAACCCAACCAAGAAGGCTGACGATGAGGTTTAGGCGACGAGGTGACATGGCAACGACGAGGGGGCTCAGCGAAGAGGTGGATGTCAAGGGGGTGCAACAACGATGTGGCGAATAGCAAGGGGGCTCGGCGACAAGGTGGATGGCGAGGGGTGCGGCGATGATGCGTCGGACGACGAGGGGGCTCAGCGACGAGGTGGCCGGCGTCAAGGTGCACAGGGATGAGGCAGATGGTGAGGGTGCGCAGTGAGGCAGCGGATGATGAGGGGCTCGATGGATGACAAGGGCCACGGGAATGAGGCAGACGGCGAGGTGGCGGTCGGCAAGGGTACATGTGGATGAGAGGTTGGGGATGGGGGTAGGGGGCGGTGGTAGTAGGGTAGTTGCGGGGTGGGGTGAGGGAGAAGGTGGATGAGGATTAGGGTTAGCTTTTATATATGGGTTTAATTTGGCCTATATTTTTTAAACGGGCTATTTTCACAGGAGTAACTCATTCCCCAAGGCCCATCTGGGCCACCCGCGGGTAGATTATGATCCCCAACCCCGTCCCCGAAAATTTGCGGGGCCCCGCCTCTGCTCACCCGCGGGTAAGAATTCCACCCCACCTCAGCCCCATAGGGACGGGTCCACGTCGGGTACCCGCCCCCAACGGGGAAATTGCCACCCCTATCCTCCTCCCTCTTTCGGGCATCATATATTTCATGTGTACATCCATGCTAAGAATATCGTGACTTTGCCAAAGGGGCGGCTTGAACATGTACCTCGGCAATGTCTACAATCCCATAGCCAAGGCAAGCTGCTAACTTTCGAGCATGCACATACTGAAGCTGAAATGACGATAGCTATATGTTTGGGTTAAAACATGCGATGAGATAATTTGTGACTATAAGTAACACCATCCTGGTGGCATATGGAATAATGGTTTAGTACGGTAGGCTCTGAATTTCCATGATTAAACCTTTTGAACCGCATACCCCAAAAAAGGTTCTGTGCATCTGATTCTTGAACCTTTTCCTTGTAATATTTGCTTCTGATTTTTTGTTTGTTTGTATTAAGTCTGCAATGAGTACGAGGATAAGTTAAATAGTTTGTTTCTTTTCAAACATTTCAAACTGCTTCTTTTGGCTGCAACTGCTATAAATTTTTAAAACTAGCTGTACATGTCTCTATCGAGTACGGTTAATGCTATTTATGTATTGTCTCATAAAACTACATGACCTTAATTGTTTCTAGTCTTTGAATCATTAATCCAAGTTATCTTTCTTCTTCCATAAAGCCGAATCATTAACAATTTGACCCCATTTGAAAAACATATTACAGGAATAGACTACGACAAAAACTTATTGAAAAAAACGGATCGTGACCTCAATGCTAGCCCTAATGGCATTGCCGTGTTGGTGCTTACCTCTATGCCATCATGTTGCTATGTCTGAATTGACATGGCAGGAGGTCAGCGCCAACCTATATGATGCTGACCCCGACAAACCCCTTCCCTTTACACACATATCACTAGCATGCCCATTGACGCTAAAGTTTGAATGTTGGAAAAGATAGTGATAGATTTATACTTTGTGATTTGGTGAATTGTGATACTAGGTATGTTAGTGGGGAGTTCGAATGTTGATATTCTTCTGTTATTTATGATTATAATGCATTGGATTTGTTTGGTAAGGTTGAGAGGAAAATTATACTAGGAAGAAAAATAACTATTGACCAATTTTGTTGAAGTGTAGGTTGCTTTTCATAACTTTAGATGATATTTAACCTTTGGAATTAGTCAAAAATGTAAATTATTATATGTATTTGAATTTTTTTTGAAGTTTGTTGGTTGTACTGGACTCATTGGATTTTACCACTTGTCAACACCTATCGACAAACATTCCATGGTCCATGTGTTGGTGCAGTAACACGTGCAAATTTATGATGAGCGAAAATGATCAAACTTACTGTGCCAAAAGTTTTGGGTGTGCGCAAATGACGCATACTCCCTAGAGAAGCTAAGCCACAACGGAAGAAAGGGACGTCCAAGAAGCCAATGGAGGTTATTTCAAACGTAATGAGGTTATTTCATCACTATGTTTTTTCATGGTGGCTAATACATTGCCATATTTGAAGGTATCCAAACCACCTCCGTTTCTAGGTGACTTTGCAGAGTGGATAGGTATAGAGGTCTACTCGAATATGTTGGGCGTCTATGCAAGCATTAGCTTTGGTTCAAGGAGCATTTTGAATGGCACTATGACGCAACACTCCGATTGGAGGAAGAGCAAAAAAAAAAGGAAGAAGGACTAAGATTATAAGGAGAGGGAAGATTGTGAGGCCAAAAGAGAGAGGAAGCAGGTGAGGGTACACAGTGCGAAGGAAGCCAGATTGAAGGCTGCAAGGAAGGATATGTACATGTCGCATGTTTTAATTTGAATCCCCTAAGGCATGTACTAATGTTTTTTTATGAAGCATCTCATGTGAAACTATCTCTGCACACACCATACACCATAGTTACATTCGGTTTTGAGCCCGAAACCGTAGTTCGAGGTTAGAACAATTATTTCGTCAAGCATACATCATGTGTTTGTAATGTAGCGGCAATTTTCAAAATCTTGTCCTCCATTACATATGCATCACATATGGATACCTTGTTTGTCAATTTAAATATATGTGGTACAAACTTATATTAGGAAGAACTATGCCTTTTGGATAGTGCGCATGATAGAAAGTTAGAATTCTTTTTTCTCAACACCTAACTTAATAGCAATGGTAGGGTGGGTACCTCAACATTGAACAACATGGTGCTGAGGTTACGAAACTCAGCTCAAGTGACATTGCATTCTTTAGTAGGTCACAAGACAAACATCTCAAGTCAAAAATTCCATGACGATTCCACAAGCACAAACATATCAAGTCCACAAATTTTCGATATTTCTGCAAGCACAAACATGTCAAGCCCACACCAAGTAGCTGCACTAATTCAAACACAAGTATGAGTTCCGGTTTTGCACTAATTTAACTTAACCCCCCTAACTTATCGTTTACATTGTCGTGGTACATCAGGAGCCCATTGATTAGTTCTCTTCCTAGGACATATCATGGTTGCGATAGCTGAGGTGCATCTATTATCCATGAAGCACCAAGCTCTTATTGGTCATCTTCCTCCCTCTCCTCCCCTCTTCCTAGGTTCCCTCCACATCTTCGTCGTTCTCCTCCTCCTCCATCCCTTGGCTGTCTTAGCTTTCGGGTGTGCATCCACTCAACTAAGAAGCTGGTGACATTGCTGGAAGGACAGCTTGAACGTGTACCTCGGCAATGTCTATGATCATGTAGCCAAGGCAAGATATTAACTTTTTATCTATATTAGACATAGTTCCTTTAATACCTATTGTATTTAAGAATTTACATGCTTAAGCTAAAAGGACGATAGCTATATGTTAGGGTTAAAACATGCAGTGAGATAATTTGAGACCATAAGTATTACTTTTCTGGATAATTTAAGATCATAAGTAATACTTTTCTGGTGGCATATGGAACAATGGTTTGGTTTGAACCTTTTCTTATAAGACTTGCTTGTGACTTTTTTCTTTGTACTCCCTCCGTCCCATTATAAGTGCAACCATAAGTATCCGTGCTCAACGTTTGACCATCTGTCTTATTTAAAAAATTTATGAAAAAATTTTAAAGGTTAAGTCACGCATAAAGTACTATTCATACTTTATCATCTAATAACAATAAAAATACTAATCACAAAAATATTTCAAATAAGACGGATGGTCAAAATTGGGCACTGAAATTCACAACTGCGCTTATTATGGGATGGAGGGAGTACTAAGTTTGCGACAAGTATGAGGATAAGTTAAATAATTTGTTTCTTTTTAACCGTGTCTAATTGCTTTTTTTGGCTGCAACAGCTATAAATTAAAAATAACCGCATGTACCTATCTCCATCGAGTACAGTCAATGGTGTTTTCACGGTCAAATCAGCCTATAATTATGAAAGGAGGAATTGCAGGACTGCTCTGGCTTCAACGACAAGTAGCAATGAGGGTGGTCAGAAAGAATGGAAGAAACTATGGAATCTCAAATGTCCAAATAAGATGAAGCACTTCTTATGGCTGCTCGCACACAATAGCTTAGCATTGCGAATGAGGTTGAGTAGAAAGGGGATGGAAATTGACATGTGTGATATGCCAACGTTTTGATGAGGATGGGGGCATCTTTTTTTTTTCAAATGCAATTAAGTAAAGAAGCCGTGGAGGGAAGTGAATATGGAAGGAACTCGTCTCAAATTGTCAGAGCAAAAATCTGCATGGGAGGTACTGAAGAGTATAATGGAATTGGAATACGATTCCCAGTTAACTGCAGTCCTACTGATGTATACGTGGTGGCATGAGTGAAATCGAATCAAAGAAGGTGAGAGCAGAAGGGACGTTTCTAGCCTAAGCTTGATCGTGATGAAACAAGCGACGAAGTTTGCTGAATTAAACCAAGAAACACTGAATCAAAATACAAGATCAACACAGAAATGGAGGAATCCCGATGTGGAGATGTTAAAGATCAATGTGGATGGAGCATATACACCACAAACGGGGAATGGTGGATGGGGATATGTTATTAGGGATGATGCTGGCTCATTGATTGAATCTGGAGCCGGAAGAATCACACATCTCATGGACGCTTTCCACTATGAAGTCTTAGCTCTCAGAGCAGGTATAGAAGCAGCAGCACGGAAAAGGCATGATGAGAGCAACTGGAAACTGACCATTGATGCTCTGGACGAGCCACAGGTTGGATGCAGCAGGAGGTCTTCTATATAATGCAGTTTTGTGTAAATTCGTTTAATACTTTTAGCTTTCATCACTGTCCCCGTAGTTGTAACAAAGTGGCACATCCTTTGGCTGCTTATGGTTGTAACTGTTCTCAGCTAACTGAGATCAGTTGGGACGGTATTCCTCCTAAACTAGAGGATTTTGTTGCCAGCGATTCTGTCGTACCAGTGGTATAATGCAATTCGATGTTCCACTAAAATAATGTTTCTAGTCTTTGAATCATTAATCAAATTATTTCTCTCCTTTCATAAAGTTGAATTTTTAATAATTTAACCCATTTAGAAAATTTATTACACCGTGGCAAAAACTTATCTAAAAAATGGAGTGCCACCTCAACGCCAGCCCTACGTTGCTAGGTCCAAACTAACGTTGTAGGAGCAAGTCATCCTCGCATATATGGTATATAAGGGCAGAATGATCATTTCATTCATACCGCTGCATGCGAAGATGACTTAGCATGCTCACGTGACACTTTTTGTGGGTCCAAGGACTATATTAACCCAAATGATTAATTTGGAGGACCTGTTTGGACGATTTGAAACCTCAAGTACTAAATTGAGCCCGAAGCGAAACTTCAGGGACAATGTTAGCTATTCACCCTTTATTTTATGATTTTTGTCATTGAATTGAGAAGCATGAGATAACATGCCAGAATACGGCTTCATTCGATCTAGTTCATAGGTTATTTGTGCATGATTAGTTGAGTGCTAATTATCATAAACTTAAAATGATTTATTTAACTTTTAAAGAAAATTTTATACAAATTTTTTTTCACGAAATGTATCGTTTAGCAATTGAGAAAGTGTATTCACGGTAAATGAGGAAGTGGCCCATCTATATAAGATAAGAACACATCTTACTAACTAAAAGAGTTTCTGATAAATATGTCTTGCTGAGGAGGCCATACGAACACAATAAAATCTAATCCTGTTATACCATGTTTTTTCCCCTCCCTTTTCAATGTGAAAAGAGAACAGAATAGCAAGCAGTGATACAAAATTAGATTTTAATCACTTCGTTGGGTTTGTACTCTTGTGTGCTTCTAAAAGTTCGACGGAAGAAAAATATCAACATGTAAGGACACGAGAATTTGAAAAAAATGATCGTAAAAATATTTTTACGAAAAGGATATTTAAGGGTAATGTACATGCTAATTTTGATTCTCCGCTGTGGCAGCTTGACACTGCATAACATAAATCACTACCAACAAGATGAGAAACCATGCCAGACAGACAGACACATCGATTTTACAACAACTGGTGTGGTTAATCGAACTATTAATCTTAACCCTCCGAAACATTCAGGGAAAAAAAATATGTACACCTGTGTGATGTTGTACACCCATTGATCTGTCATGTTTAACAGCAGGTTCCTGATTCTAAACATCTTACACTGTACGCCTGTATCCCTTCTTGTAAATTGTATAATTCTATAGTAAATTCAGAGTTTCAGTTGTTCCACGTCTTCTCTGTCATTCCGTGAGTGATCATATGCCTGCCTGTTCTCCATTTGCTCCCTGGAAGTATCTGTTCTTAGGCCAGAGCTTGCTTCTTCAGTTTCAGAGCAGCCAGGTCGCTCTGTTAGGAACTGCTCCCAGAACTTGTCATTCACCACTGCAGCCGGGGCTGCAGGAGCCTCACTGGCTACTCGTGCATCCGCTCGTGGTGTTGTGGCATCTGCTGTACGAGAATCAGCTGATTTCTTTTGGTTGTCATCGAAGCTTCTGTCAATGGTGTCATCCTTTTCCATGGTAGCTGTTGCTGCCTCAGTTGGGTTGTCTATAGTGGTCCCATTTGCATTGAGGCCTTGGCTTTTGTCAACATCCATCGAGCATGATGCAAGAGTTAGACTCAGATGGCATGTTAAGAGGCCTTCATCACTTATAGGTGGTGCAAAGCAAGAGCTCTTGGAGGGGCAGATAGATGTGCCGGTATCGGAGAGTTCCATCATCTGCGGCACCAACGGGAGACATTCCCTCCCCATCATGTCACACTCTGGATGTTTACCATGAGGGCTTCTGTTATCTTCGTTTGAGCTTTGCGTGCTTAGCGTGATGATATTGCTCTCTGTCATGGCAGGACAAAGTCCCAACCTAAGCTTATCAGAGAAGTGCTGATTTAAAAGATTGCCTGTTTCTTGCTTAGAAGTGCTGCTATGGTCATCATAAAAGCTTGTGGTTTCTGTGTTCTCGATACTGTAATCCAAACCAGGTAACCTTCTCTTCTTATTGAAAGCATCCGTGAAAATCGAAGATGCTTCTGCCATCTTAACAAGCTTGTTGACAAACTGAGGGTTCTTACTAGCTTGCTGCAAGAAGGCAATCATCTTGGTCTGTCGCTGCTCCATGCCAAGCACTCGTCGCTCAAGATCTTCAATCTGGTTCATCGTTCCCGACTGCTGCTGCTTGGATTTCCAGAGGTCAGCCTGGAGGTTGGATTTCTCTCGTGAAAGCCGTTCGATCTCATCCTCAAATATTGCACGCTCATTATCGGGCAGAGCACCTGGTGGATGGCTGTGGCTGTGGATAGGCTTACGCCTGTGGATATTCTTCAGCAGGTGCTTTTGTCCCTTGATGAAGTACTCATTGGCAAATTCCCATCGCTCTGGATCTATTTTACGGAATCCCTGCAAAATTGACAATTTGCAAAGGGTCTCCATTAATTTAGGGAACTAGGAGTAAATAGATCTTTCACTTCTTAAGAGTCTATCAATAGGCAGAAGTTAGGAAACTTCCTTAAGGAATTATCAACTCACACTACAAAGTGAACTATATTAAGAATATTGTTCACTGGTATCTGAAGATTTAAAGTTTCAGCATAGCTATCAGCTCACAAAAACGATAAAGGAAATCATGCACAAAAAAAAATCACCTATTCTTGGACCACAAGAAGAAACAAATTTATGATAAGAATACCATGAAAAAGCCAAAATCTTGTTCTTGGACACTGGTGGGAAAAAAATAAGCATCAGCAAACAGGATAACAGGTCACCCAGTTGAACTTTTTCCGGAGAGATATTATGACCTACTACAGACACTCCCTTGTTAATACTAAACAACAAGCACACCAATCAATAACAGGGCTCATACAGTCCTCGTATCAGCTATTTTTATGGAGAAGATGACAGGTAAACAGATGTTGCTGTCACATCAACATTCACAATTCTAAGTTTTCACGATGACCCCAAGCTGATCTTACTTGCAATACCAACTTCTTAGTAGTTAGACAAAACATTGTTGAAGAATCATTTTCCAATAAAGATATCTACTAACAATAAAAGTTCAAATTGTGAACAATTACATATACTAAATGAAGGTAACAAATTGAGGAGTACCAGAGATGTCCATTGCGAATAAAGTCCCTAAAACCCAACCATTATTAGCAACCACAATTCCCTCGTGGATATCCATCCCAAATGTCCAAAGTCCCAAAAACGCAAAACTGGTCAGTTTATAATCCTAAAGGATGCAGTCTTGCTACCAAAAAACAATTAAAGTCTCAGCCCAAACTAAAGTCAATAGTGACACAAATCTCTCATCCTAGTAACCAAGGGAGTGAAAATCTGTCTAGCTCTCGATACCACAGTGTCTTCTCTTCGCATATAGCTCAAACTAACCAAAGCACAACTCAAACCCAGTGAGTCTGGGTAAAGTGCTGACACATGCAGCCTCATCCCCACGATAAAACAAGATGAACTTCACAAGCATTCCACATCTACACCACTTCCAAGACCCCCACCTTTTCCTTCATTAAATTGCAACCAAATATAACTACAAGGAACAGAAATCCACGTTCTAAACTACCCACCGTACTAGCAATTCACCAAAATCGCAGGGATATTTCAGCAATTACTATCCCCCATCGACACGGAGTTCCCAAAAATTCCCAAATGTAACAATTGACGGTAAAATTCCCGAACCCAACAAGCAACTGCCCAGCTTAACTACCCCAAATCGATTTGCCCCCCCCCCCCCCCCCACGCAACCTAGGCTTCAACGAAGCCTGAATTCCCCAAGGCGGCTATCCACCCGGAGCGCACCGCGCAGCGAAGAGAGATCGACGATTACGAGGAGGGCGGGGGACAAAGCAAAGCGTACGCACGTAGGTGTTGAGCTGGCGGATGAAACTGGAGAAGTTGCTGTGCTTGAAGTAGGCGGGCAGCAGGCGGGCGGCGAACTCCGGGTGGTTCCAGACGACGAAGCTCGCGTCGGAGGCGTCGCTCCACGACACCACCGCGTCCGTCGACGGGTCGTCCACCATCTCGTACGTCTTGAGCAGGAACGGCGCGGGGCCTCCCCCTCCTCCGCCGGCCCCGCCGCCGCGGGCGCCGGCGGCAACTTCCATCGCCGGAGACGGCGGCGCGCGTGCTGCGGGTGAAGAGAGAGAAAGGGAGGAGAGGAGTCGTCGTGGTCGTTGTAGGTTGGGTGGGGTTTGGTATGATTTCTCGCTTCTTCAATTTTTTTTTAATTAATGCTGCAAGACGATACCCGTTGGTATCGTTGGGACGGTATAATACATCTGTGTGAAAAAGATATCATCCCATTTGAACGATATATCATATATCAGTAAGTAGATACCTTCATTTTAAAATAATGACATATCAAACTTTTTTAAATTTTAACTATTAATAGCAAAAAGAATAAAAAAATTATCATGTAAATTTAATAGCAAAAAGAATAAAAAAATTATCATGTAAATTTAATGTTACTATATTTATCATTAAACGAACTACAGTATAATAATATGTAACTATTTTTATTTAAAACATTTTACTTTTGTAGATATTATTAGTTAAAATAGCATCTAGGAGACAATGTCTAGTTTTAAAAATGCTATAATTTAGGATGAGGGGAGCAGACATTAAGCTCTGTCTTAAAGGTATTATTTCATTCGAACGAGATATTTTGTTGTTCTTTTTGTTTTGTCAGTCGCATCATTTTTGTCTTTTTTTAGTGTGCATTCATGATTGGAATTTATTGGGTAGCTCTGGAAGGTGAGAGATGGAAATTGGGTGTAGATTGATGAGAGAGTGACAAGATTCAAGATACAGTGAAGCATGTGCTATCCGAAGCTGGACTAAAGTGGTTTGACTTAGAGACTTGAGAGAATCGATCCGGCAAAATAAAATGTATGCTTGATTTTGATTCGATCGTATACTACATAAAGAAGATAACGCAATTGACTTTTCTAAGATATTTAAACTCGTCCTATTAAAAGTTTAATGTGAATATGCATAAATATAAGTGGTGCTTAAAATTTTCTAATCATAAAATAAACCACAACAAATGATAGTTATATTTTCTTTAATAAGATAAATGGTTAAATATTATACCAAAGTCAATAATAAGAATACATAGCGAATACTATAATTTAATTCATTGGAGAATATGAAGAGATGGAGACGTTTTGACCTTTAGTTGAATTTCACTTGATTTAGATTGATATGATAATTCAACTTAGGGCTCTCTCCTCAATAAGGTCCTTGACGGAGGAAAAAAGCAATATTACTAAAACTGTTATGCACGGTCTTATTGTCACCGAGAGAAGCGGGAACCAAATCCTCTAGCTTTGAACTTTGAAGGACAAGCGCAAATAAGAACATTAAAATGAATCTAGTGCTACAATGACTTATAGTTGTCACTCTGTAAATTGTACATATTTACTACTTACCGTATTAAACCAATCGCGTCCATTTGATATGAATAGGATGACTATAAACATCTAAGTCACGGCACTTTATGCCTCTAAACTTTTACGCTACTAAAGTTGAGAATCCAAATCCGAGCAGAACTTGAAACCAATCTTGGGCATATGGAATGAGATCCTGTGCAGTACTACAGCTGACATGAGAACCTCGCTTAGTCCAGAGCTCTTACATGAGTGGTCATGATGACGGATGACCCCACTTACTCAAGAGCAAAGTTTAACAAACCGTTTAGGGTGTGTTACCGCCACCTTACAGTTTGGCGGTTACTGTGAAAACCACGTGGTTACCGAGAAGTATATCGTAATTTCAAAAACTGAGAAGGTTACCATATGTAATAACCACGACAACCGTACAGTTTTATAAACCGTGCTCAAGGGCTCATTTGTCAACGGACATGGTGATCTCACTTACTTAAGAGCTGAATTTTTTTTATTTTTAATTTTTTTTATTAAAAGTTTTACAAAAATAATTTTCCATTTTGAAAATTGACGGAAGTAGTCGCCTACCGCCCTCTGGGAGGGCGATTTTTAAAAATCGCCATCCCAGAGGGCGGCGAAAATGACGTGGCAGACGGCCGTTCGCTCTCGAGCGACGGCCGTCAACGAAATTTGCAGGCGGCCCCCTTGCCGCCCTCCGCTAGGGCGATTTTGTACTGTGCGGGGGGCCGCCTGCAAATGGGCGGCGAGGGGGCATGGAATTTTGCAGGCGGCCCCCTTGCTGCCCTGGGGGAGGGCGATTTTTGCCTCCCCCCTATAAAGCCCAGTCCGCCCTCTCTGAAATTTCATTATATTCACTAAAAATCCAAAAAAAACGAAAGAGAGAGAGGGGAGGGCAGCAGAAGGGGAGCGGCGAAGCCCTGCTGGTTCGCTCACTTCATCACAGGTTTGCTCCCATACATCTTTTGCATTTGTACTAATATGTTATGTTTGAGTATATATGTTGCGTTTTAGTTTTAGTTCCATATATTTTAGCATATCTGTAGCACACAGCACATATGTGTAGATCCAGAGCATAGAATATAATAGTATGAATTGAGACATAGACAGTAGTGTTAATTGTAAGATGTAGTTTAGTTTGATCTGGAGAATGTAACCTACTTTTAGAATTTTGGAGAACAATATTGTAGAGAATGTAACTTAGGGCGTAGTACAGAAATGCGAGGTTAACGCAGTTATTGTTTTCATCAGGCACAATGTCAAATAAGGTCACATTTCAGATAGTTCACGGTGAAGGAAATATTAGATTTGGTCCAGATGGTGTTGATCTGTCAGATTTTGTAATGACATCTAAGGGCATCGATAGGCCTGCGGAGAGAACATTTCAGTCAATTTATAGTTGGTTGTTGAGAGGATTTAGAATAGACCAAGAAGTCTACACAATGTCAGTATCAGTTGTAGTGAGTCGTGCAACAGAAGGTTATTTTTGGGAACTAATGCCGATGGACAGCACTGCTGCTTGGAGACGGTATGTGGAAATGGCTTTTGAACGGTCATGGCCCCTCGTTATATTTGTGTCGGTACAAGAGAAAGATATAAATGTTTCAATGCAAACCGAAGATGTAGAGGGTCCTATCAATGCAGGGGATGTTGTTGGACCATCGATGCAAAATGAGGAAAATCAACCAAGGGAGGAGCAGGCCATGGGCATGGCGGATGAGGGGGAGTGAGTCGGTATAATTGTTGATGAAATGGAGAGGGAAGATTCGGATAATGAGGAAGCGGACGACGACGCATCATCCGATGAGGAAGGTGATGTAATGGCCACTGATTAGGCAAATGAGGACTTTTCTGGACTTGTTATATCAGAGGGTGATCATGTACCCTGGGAGTATAAGGAGAACGAGGTAATTGACGGTGCAAGGTATGCTCATAAGGATGAGATGAAGGAGGCGGTGAAGCATTGGGCAGTTTCCTTGCAGAGAGAGTTTAGGGTGGTCAAGTCAACAAATTATGTGTATGAAGTGAGGTGCATGAAGGAAGATTGTCCGTGGCGTGTCCATGCATATAAGGGTAAATGGAATGATAATTGGAAAGTTAGCATTGTGACCGAGCACAAGTGCTACTTACAAGGGGTGGAGAAGTATCACCGAAACATCACTTCAGCTTTTGTGGCAAGTGAGATGTACAGCAGTGTTGTTGGTAACATTGGCTTTGAACCAAAATCAATTATTAGGCACATCGAGAACAAATTCAAGTACACCATAAGCTATGCAAAGGCCTGGAGAGCCAAACAAAAGATTATTGAGATGAGGTATGGCACATTTGAAGCTTCTTATGATAATTTGCCTCGTTTGTTAGCCACCATTGCCCAGAAGAATAATAATACTTACTATGACCTACATACATTTACATCGGTTGATGATCGAACAAAGAGTGTGCTGCAAAGAGCCTTTTTCTCATTGGGTGCTTGCATCAATGCTTTTGTGCATTGTCGACCTGTTCTATGCATAGATGGAACTTTTATGACAGGTAAATACCGAGGTCAGATATTGACAGCAATTGGGTGTGATGGGAACAACCAGGTTGTACCTATGGCTTTTGCATTTGTAGAGAGTGAGAACACTGAAAGCTGGTACTGGTTCCTAGAGAGAGTGCACATTGCAGTGGTGCGTATGAGGCCCAACGTTTGCCTTATACATGATCGTCATGCGGGTATGTTGCGGGCTATTGACTACTTGCAGAACGGTTGGGATGAGAAGGGACTTCCAGCTAAGTAGCCTGATGTTCGGAGTCGGTGGTGCATGCGTCACATGGGTGCAAATTTCTACAAGCAATTCAAGAACAAGCATCTTATGGAGCTCTTTAAGAGGCTCTGTGCACAGAACCAAGAGAAGAAATTTAATGAGTTGTGGGACAAGTTGGATGAGTTGACAACGAAGCAAACAGATGAGCAATCTCGCAGACCACAAGTTGAAGGTGACGAGCCTCCCATACCTCTTGGTGCATTACATGATGACCCACCAACAATGAGAAGGAGGTCAGGGTCGTCCATCAGAAATTTCACTCAGTGGATTGAGAATGAGCCTAAGGAGAAGTGGTCTCTATTGTTCGACACCGATGGATCTCGGTATGGCATAATGACAACCAATTTGGCAGAGGTGTACAACTGGGTAATGCGAGGAGTTCGGGTACTTCCATTGGTTGCTATTGTTGAATTCATCCTTCACGGCACGCAAGCGTACTTTAGGGATCGATACAAGAATATTGGTCCGTCCATGGCCGATAACAACATAGTGTTTGGCAACGTAGTGACAAAGTACATGGAAGATAAAATCAAAAAGGCACGGAGACATAGAGTTGTTGCTCAAGGCACACAAGTGCATCGGTATGAAATAATGTGTGTTGATAGGAGCAGGCGTGGTATCTATCGCAAGCAAGCCGTGCAGGAATGTGTCTTGAAGGCGGATGGTGGATGTACCTGCAGTTGTATGAAGCCGAAGCTTCATCACCTTCCTTTCTCACACGTTCTTGCTGCTGCCGGTGATTGTGGCATATCTCCCAATGTGTACGTCTCAAATTATTTCAGGAAAGAAGCAATCTTTCATACATGGAGTGAGGAGATATACGGGTTCGGGATCTCAGGATCTTACACAACGCTGAGTGCCCAAGTTTTTTACATTCCAGATCCATCTAAGTTAAGGGTGAAAAAGGGTCGACACCAAACTAGACGCATCAGAAATGGTATGGATGAGTCAGAAGCAGGTGGGAGGACTTTACGCTGCAGCAAGTGTGATCTGCGCGGCCATACTTACAAGAAATGCCCGAAGAATGCAGAAGTTCCAAGCGGCGCAAATGCTAGTCCATCTGGACAGGCAAGTGATGGTAGGCGACCACCTGGTGAAGGAACAACAAGCAGGCGCGCAAGGCCAAGGCGTCGTCGCGCAGCAGGCGATTCCATGGTGTAACAATGCTATCGATTTAGGAAATAAAATGCTGTTGTGATGTGATGAGTGTTCGGACTAAATACTTCTATCGTGTAATTTCAATTTTGTTTCAGCCCAGAGATTAGTTCATTTTTGTTTCAGCTTTTGCACGAATATGTCACCATGTTTTAACGGCACGTTTCCTCATCGCAGGACCTCGTCTGCCTTCGAGCGCGTTCGCAGGCACGACCGGCGCTTCCGCGAGCTCCGCAGGGGCGTTCGCCACCTCTTCGGGCGCGTTCGCCAGCTCTTCCTCTCACGGAGCGTCGATCCCTCGCCCACACGGTACTTTACTTTTTATTAATACTATTAAATACCTGTATGAAACTGATGGTCCTTGTCCAGCAGGATTTGCAGCCGGGATCTTCGGTACTGGGGCCTCTTCGTCTCACGCCGGTAGGACTGGTCCTACTAGCCAGTTCTACGACGACGACTTGCACGGTGCACACCACCACGACGTACTAGGCTCCTCTCAGCTTGGAGGAGCTCCAGAGGCGCACACTCAGGAGCAGCCAGAGGTCACACCTGTACAGGCAGGACGGGTTGGCCGTGCCGTACCCCCGGACCGACTCACGTACTCCCAGGGGCACATTAGGGCGCAGGGTAGGAGGGACAGGGGTAAGAAGCCTCGTCAGTAGTGTTCTACCTCTTCAGTCCTTATGTGACCGTTTCTTTTGGCTTACAAACTTGTAAAGCAGTACTACTTTTGCTATTACTACTGCAGTACTACTTGTGTTTGTCTCGTCTACATAGTTCTTTTCATTCATATGGTGCTAGAACAACTTATGCTCACGACAACACACTTTCGGCGCTTCACGGTAGTGTCAGATCTAGTAGCGCGCACAGTCCACAACAGCACACATGAAAAGCGGCAGCTCGAGTTGTCACTATCAACTTTCGGCGCTGCCTGTTGACATAAAGTGAATCACGCCCACGCGTGATCGTCTTGTCACATCTAATGAATAATGTATCTCATTGAGTTCACATATATTGCAGTGAAAACGACGCTATATAATTGACAATCTGAAGGCAACCTCTTCATATCTTCTTTCCCACTAGCACACAACACACGAAAATGGAAGCGCCATTCCTTGAGCGTCTCAACTGGCGAAGCGATCCTTTTGCTGGTTGGTTTCCACCATGGTGTGACCGTCCTTTGTGCGATTGTGGGGATGGATGCATACTCAAGTCTTCCCTCATGATACAAACTCGGGGCAGGAGATTCTTCCAATGCGCGAACTTTGATCAGGTATGCTTCATCTATTCGAAGTTCAAATGGATAAAAAAACTAACTTCTTCGTACACAATTGTAACATCTTACGCAGACATATCGTCCAATGTGCAACTTCATCGAGTGGGTAGACATGGAGAACCCACAAAACGACGGAACCCGTGCTTACCCACGTAGTGAAACAAGATCGGACTACCTAAGGCGGAAGGATGAGCATGAACGTCGAATTGCTGCTGAGGCTTTAGAATGGCACGTAAATCCCCTAGGACTCCCCACGTGGCGTGAGCGTCCGTAGTGTCGTTGTGGTGACCGTTGTCAGGTCATAAGGTCCGTAAGGCACCGAACTCGAGGACAAAGGTGTTTCGTGTGTCCAAACATTGTCGACGATGATTTCGTGGTAATTACAACTATTCTTTTCATCACTCCTCAGTACTATCATTAACTTAACTATCCCAAAATGGATGTACATAGGAGAATGTAAGGAAATGTCAATTCGTACAATGGATTGACACAGTCAGAGTTACTTCAAGTGGCGGGCCGATAACGCAACCTGAACCGACCATACAGTTCATTCATGCTTGGATGGAGTACGAACGTCGGGTGGAAATTGCAAGCTTAGACTGGAGGAACAATCCATTAGGGTTACCTAAATGGTCCGAGCGTCCAAAGTGTGGGTGCAGAGATCGCTGGCAGGTGGCTACATCCTTTGCTGAACAAACATTTCGAAGGAGATATTTTGTCTGCCCCAATGTAAACAACGATTTCGTTGTATGTCTAACCATTTACAAAATCCGCTATGATTTGCACAAAATTACTACCCAAACTGAATAACATTACTATTTTTACAGGGCAATCCAAGGATGGGTGGATTTACTCGATGGATCGACAATGTCACTCCATCATATCATGGCCAGAAGATAACAGAGTCAGAAACACAAGTAGAGTATCAACGATTGAAGGACCACGAGAATGCAATGCATTCTGACCGACCTAGAAGGGGCCGATAGGTTACCGCATGCTTGATTCGTCGGGATCGACAAATTTGTACCGTGTATCGATGGCACTTCTTATCTATCTTATCATTACAATGTTTAATTATGGTGGTGATTTTTTGTATGCGTAAGACTAAGGGCCTATTTGGATTGCTACCAAAAACATGCCCTACCAATATTTTGGTAATTTGAATAGTACTTGTGTTTGATTTCGATTGAAGCCTATTCATTGGTAATACGTAATCTAGATTTGAGATTATGTAGAACATTCTTCACTACAATTTTACATTTTGGCAGCAAACCAAATATGATCAAATGCAATTTTACCTTACCAAAAATTTGGTAGTGCCAAAACTTGCTTATATTTTGGCACTAACAAAATATTTGTACGGTAACATTCCAAATAGGCCCTAAAAAATAATAAAATTGTATTTTACCAGTCTTGGAGATTTTAATCTTGTATAGTTTTCAATATAAAAAGATTTGATAACTATTGATATTTATACAAAAATATAAAGCACAGTATAAAATCGCCCTCCCCCAGGGCGGCAAGGGGGCCGCCTGCAAAATTCCAGGCCCCCCGCCGCCCATTTGCAGGCGGCCCCCCGCACAGTACAAAATCGCCCTAGCGGAGGGCGGCAAGGGGGCCGCCTGCAAATTTCGTTGACGGCCGTCGCCCGAGAGCGAACGGCCGTCTGCCACGTTACTTTCGCCGCCCTCTGGGATGGCGATTTTTAAAAATCGCCCTCCCAGAGGGCGGTAGGCGACCACTTCTGTCAATTTTCAAAATGAAAAATTATTTTTGTAAAACTTTTAATTAAAAAAAATTAAAAATAAAAAAAATTCCTTAAGAGCTCATATGTCAGCGGGCCTCACTTGCTCAAGAGCCCGCCCCAAAATTGATACTACTTCAAAAGAGGGAAAGGAACTCAAGTAGTTTTCCCTTGGATGGCTTCTACAATTTAAGCCATTTTCTTGTAGAACCTACTCCCTCCATTAAAAAAACCCAATCCTAGATTTAAATCTAGATATATACTATATCTAGATTTAAATTCAGGATTGATGTATATCTAGTTTTAAATCTAGGATTAAATTTTTTTTGGATAGAGGAAATAGAAATTTGCTGACAACAAGTTTGCCTGGTCATTGCATGAAATAAATTGATGTCTGATATGAATGTAGGGACATACACAACACACAAGTTCATTAACATTTATACCTCAATTAAATAAAAAAAAGGTTTGCTTCAGTTACCAAACTTTGGGTGTGTTATTAAAGTGTACCAGCAACTTTCAGTGGTATAAAACAGAACTGAAGAACTTTCGGTGGCGTGGAACCAATTTTGCCTTTCAAATATGGTCGTTCACGCAACATAATTCTCTTCCGTATTTGATTGGTAAGATCAGCCAGCAGCAATATATGATGTGATGTCAAAATATACTAAAAAGAGTCCAACATGCTAAAAATTGATCATGGGCACACAGACCAAAATTTACAGGACATCAACTGCAACTAAAATATCAGTGTACTGTGAACCCATCTTGTAGTTAAACAAAAACTAGATGCATAATGATGCTTACGAACTTTGAATTCAACCTTCCAAAGGTACAGCACATTTATGTTCAGTGTTTTGAGTGGATAATATCTTTCTCGGAGCAATAACCATGAATCATTTAGCCTTGACACTCTCCGTTGTAGCTTGCTCCTTGACAGGCGGACTCTCCGGTGTACCTTCCTTGTTGACAGGCTGAATCCGTTCATACCGCTTCCTCGTCAGTGTCTCCCCTTTGAGGGCAGCAACATATCTGTCATTTGTGTCCTCTTTCCTTTGCAGCTCTCCAAGAAACTCTGCCAGTCTCTCCCGGTTCACTTGCCCCATCATCTGTTTTGTCATACAATGGAATTGCAAAAACAACATGTGCAATGTTAGACAAAGTAGTAGCATAAACAAGTCAACAAAACTAACAGTGAAGAACCAATGGCTCCTGTAATGACAAAAACGGAAAGGATGGGAACGATTAACCAAAGTAAACCTCGATTCCGTTGGGAAGTAAAAGTAAACATACAGTAGCATAGAAACAAAACTGTCACATGCCAGATAAAAATAGCTACCAGGCAATTCTCTGCAAACCTTATAAGGGTATTACTAAGATAAGAATGCATATTTACATGTATCAGATTATGTTTGTATAGATTTGATATTCCCGATTAGTCACATTTTTCTGAATACTGACATCACAACTCGAAATCCATCTGATCCATTTCCTACTAAAAGTCATGTGAAGCTTACATGATGTCCTCTAGGTATCAGATCATGCATGTTCACTGCGACAGCTTACCGTTCATGTAACATATCATCATTAACCAACAAAAGACAAGGGAATCATAGTGACAGTTTGACCATTCATGTATTTCAACCAGGGAAATTTCTACCGATTCCAAAAGAAAAATAATTGGTCCCACTGAACTTCCAGTAATTGGTGGTCAATGGAAATTTCAGAACGTTTTCGTTCAAAACATTTGAAATTGAAATTTGAATGTTTTAACAGGGAAAGATTGTGCTTGAAGGGCTCGAAGTCTAGAACCCAACTGATCATCCCAGAGGATAGCATACAACCATTCCAGTTGCACATTTATTGCTAAGAACTGTTATCATTCATTATATTATTTAATTAAATAATTCAGAAGCATGCATTTTCCCAGGTACTTTAGCCTGACCTTATTCCTACCTTGGGTAACTCATATGGCTGGTAATCAGCATTAACTGCAAATAGAGATTTTCCTGATTTCAACTGCAATACAAAACAAGCTGATTTACAGGATACGCAGATCTATGCCAAAGAACAATTTGGTTCATCATAAACACCATCCTTGCAGGCTTATAAGCTGCAAGACCGAAGAAGGGTCATCATACCATATCTACAAGTCACTTGGTCAAAGAGAACCCAACAAGTTGTCCTAATTATAATAGATGGATGTTGCCAAAAAGAGCATCCTATAGGTTGATTACTGGAAAAGCTTCTTAGAAGCATGCCATCTTGTTACCCAAAACTAATTCACAACGGTGTGTCCAGTAAAATACATGTTAAGTTCTTTTGAAACAATGTAAAAGCCAATAGACATATACAATGTCCAAACAGATGGTAAATCGTAGTATCATGACATACTTGACTAGGTGAATGCTATATACTCAAATAATCAGCACAATTAGCTCAGCAAAGTTGGCATCTACAACAACGTTCCCAAAGGCCATAAGCACTACTAATCTAACAGAGAAATAGAATAAATAGAAATGAGCTATCAAATGGCCTGACTAGGAGCAGAAGAAACAATGAAACATCATTCAACAACGAATGAGTGATACATGTGTTCATTCACTCTCTACTGAATGAATGCCAGTATGTCCCTTCCTCCTGCACCTTATTTGATAGGTAGCATATAACAGCATAAAAAGAAAAGAGCTATCAAATGGTCTGACTAGAAGCAGAAAACAACATCATTCAACAACAAATTAATAGTAGATGTGTTCATTAACTCTCTATTGAATGCCAGTATCTCCCTTCCACCTGCACCTCATTTGATAGGTAGCATATGCTGAGCCATCCCACAAAACAGGCATGAACTAGTAGTGTACAAATAGAAGAACGCAACTCCGCAGAACTACTCGAAATCGTAAAATTGCACCACAAATTGGAACATTTCACTCGGTATATTCGATCTATCTTTGAAGTGGGAAACTAATTTCACATCTAAACAAGATCGAACGATATCGTCTAGAACTCCACTACGCGACAGCAAGTTTCCATCAAGAACCTAGAGAGGGCGGCGATACGAACCAAAGAAGATCGCAACAACCCATTAATTAATTAATCATCAGAACAACCCAAAAGATGGCAGAAAACAACAAGATTTGGGGGGCGGGCGCGCACCGCGGTCTCGGGGCGGGCGGTGGAGCGGAGGTGGGCCTCGAGCTGGTCGTTGCGGGAGCTGGTGAGCTGCATCACGCCGTAGCCGACGACGCCCGGGACAACGCCGCACAGCGCCGCGAAGGTGAAGAAGAAGGGCTTGGAGTCGCGCGTCCGCCGCACCAGCCACCGCCACCCCGCGCTCTTCTCCCACAGGATCGACATCTCCCTCTCCCTCTCCCTCTCCCTCGCGCCTCGATTCCCCCCTCGTCTCGCCTCTCCTCTCCTCAGCCGCTGCTTCTTCTCTACCCTTCTCTTGCCTAGGGGCCTGTTCATTTTAATGCTAAAAAAAATCTTATCAAATTTTAGCATTGCCAAAATTTTGGTATAGTTTCTAAAATTTTGGTAACTTGTCAAAATTTTGGCAGGATTTCTTATATAGTTACCAAAATTTAATAGCAAACTAGATGTAACCACTTTTTTAATAACTTTAATAAAACTTGGTAAGGTTAAAAATGGTATTAAAGTGACAGGCCCTAGGTTTTCTTCTTCCTCCCTCCCTCTTGTTCGTTGCTTTTTCTTTTTCTTTTTCTTTTTCTTTTTTCCCTGATGCGGGCGGAGAGGAGATGGGTTGGCGTTAGTGTGGGAAAGCGAGGCAGATGGGCCTCAGTGGGCTCGAGGCTGGCCTGGAGGCTCGATAGTAATTGGAAGGAATAAGTTCACCTCGACTCTCTTACTTGTGACCGAATCTTATTCGTATCCTTTTACCGGATATCTCGACCCCCAACTATTAAAACCGATGTAATTTAACTTCTTTGGTAGTTTTGGAGAGCGATTTTACTGATGTGGGGCCTACATAATGGTATTAATCAGGTCTTCATTCTACGTGGCGTTGATGTGGCGTTTAAGTGGCATTAGAATAAAAAAATATATGTGTGACCCATTTATGTCATTCAGGAAAAAAAAATTATAGTACCCACTAACATGTCGGACCCATCTCTCCTTCCTTCTTCCTCCCCTCTCTCTCCCTTCTCTCTTTCTCTCCCCCGGCCTTTTTTTGTTCACGTTGGCCGGAGCGGCGGCGGTGGAGAGCGGTGCCCGACGACGGCCTCCATTTTCTCTCCCCATGTTCACTTCGAGCTCGCCGACAAGATGAGAACTTTTCAGTGGGCAGGGTCGACTTCTCTTCCTTCCCCTCCATCAATCACTGTCCCAGTGTCCCTCCTCTCCACATCCCGTCGGAGGAAGTCAGGCGGCGGTGGCAGTGGGGAGGGTAGTCGGAGTAGTAGCGCTGGCTCTGGGATCTGCTCCGCCCGAGCCACGACGGATGAAGTCGAGCAGGCCGAGCGAGGAAAGGACGCAGGCGAGGACGCGTGGAGCTCGGCTTGTGAAGACGAGGCGCAGTGAATCGCCGTGATCAGCGCCGACGAGAACACCAGCACCGTGAAAGATTGGTCACTCATGATCTACACAACACAAGCAGCCTTAAATTAATCACGACATGCAGCGCATGACGCGCGATTAAGAACAACTAATAAAGTAATGGATCACTCATTTGTTCTTTGCAATGTTGAGGATGACGAGCTCGATGATCCCTTGTGTTGAGCAGCAGCCCAATGGACGTGCCGCCACTGAGCGGTATACAGAACACACCGGCGAGTGGAGGAGGAAGGGAAGGAAAGAGGATGACATATGGTCCCATAATATTTTTTAATGATATATATTTTAATTATAATGCCACCTAAGCGATATAAAAGAAGGATTGAAAAATAAACTTCGATGAAAAATCTTAAAATCAGCTCCAAATAAAATTGAAAATTTAAATTTGGACTGACAAGCATAAGAAAAAAGATGAGGCTTATACTTCCTTTGTTTTCTCGTTTCAGTTTTACAACCTCATTATCTATCATGAGCACGCTTCCCAGTTACTAAACAATATTTTTGTTTACGCTAGCTTAAGTTTTCTATTTTAGCCATGTCGACGACGACATTGTTGGCTAGGAGCGCCCGACTGGACGAGAAGGCGAAGGTCGCCGAACCGTGAGCTCAATCCAGCAGTGTTGATCGTGTCCTCTCTTCATCGAGATTTGGCCAACGTGGTTTAAGAGCCGTGGCTTTAAGGGCTGTTTGGTTGGTGACTTGACACATGCGTGATGAAAACTCGTGCCTGAAGCTAGCCTTTAAGTTTGAAGACATTTGCTTCGCCAGGCAGCCTGTGAGATGAGTTGTTTGGTTTGAACCATGTGCCTGAAAAGAAACAATGCAACATCATACTGTAATAATTACATTTAACAGACAATATTAACAGATAGTATTAACTCGGTGGGAAGAAAGAAAAAGCAAAAAAAAGAAAGAAAGAAAGAAAAAGAATGTACTCCCTCCTTCCCTAAATGTTTGACGCCGTTGACTTTTTTAAACATGTTTGACCGTTCGTTTTATTCAAAAACTTTTGTGAAATGTGTAAAACTATATATATACATAAAAATATATTTAACAATAAATCAAATGATAGGAAAAGAATTAATAGTTACTTAAATGTTTTGAATAAGACGAACGGTCAAACATTTTTAAAAAAGTCAACGGCGTCAAACATTTTGGGATGGAGGGAGTAATTAACAGTGGGACCCATAGCTTTCACATTACCTTAATCTTAGGCCATTCACAGTGCAAATATGTGGCGTTCGGCCAACCCGATATTCTCCGCCAGCTCGGCTTGGAGCGTGACCTAACGAGGTTTGGTAGTAAAAATTGGGCATGCGTTCTTCGTCAGAAAAGTTGCCAAGCGACGCTGGGAAGAATGGCACGACCCCGCTGTGAGGGTTGTGGCCTCACGTTTGGTGGCCCCATGCGACGCCGGAGAGAGTTGTACCGCGCCGAGACGGAACCTCATCGCAGGAGAAAGCTGCTACCACGTTGGAGAGGGAACCTCGTCGCCAGAGAAAGCTACTACCGTGTCAGAGAGGGAACCTCGTTACCACCCCTGCTCGTTGTTCTATTTGCGGCGCCGAGCTCGTCTCTTCGATCTGCAATGGGGATGTCGCGCCGACGCTAGAGGGGGAGGCCGCCGCAGGCCTACCATTGAGCCGACGTTAGCATCGCCTTCGAGCCGCCGCCACCTTCCCCATTGCCGCCGCCTGAGTACAGATTCGGCGAGCCACAGGCCGGATCTGGAGAGCTCGGTGGAAGGAGAGGCCGGAGCCAGGGAGGGGACAACGGAGGGAGAGGTCAGAGGCGGGGAGGGGACGACGTAGGGAGAGGTGAGAGGCGGCCACCGCCGCAAGCCGTCGAGCTGGGCTTGTGTGGCGTCCGAGATTGTGAGGTGCCGACGGGGAGGGGAAGTGGTGGAGAGGAGGGAGAGCTATGTCGGCGGTCGAGGAAAGTGGAGCTGTGCCGATGGTGGTGGGGGAAGGTGAGGAGACGTGTCGGCCTAGGAGATGAAGGGCACAACCTGGGGGGGGGGGGAGAGGGAGGCCAGCACACCATGGGAGATTAAAATTTATGATGTGTGGTTTCATTCACTTTTTTTTTATCTAAGATAGAGCACATGGTCACGTGAAATAAGGATGCACTGCTAATGCCCTTACTAGCTTCTCACTTTCTTGAGTCAGGCGTTGGAATTTCATCTCCTGAGCCAGACTAATCAACGCAACTAGCTATCAGGTCAGGCCATCGCGGAAACACCCGAGGACACCAACCAAATAAGGTACATGCTTGTATCGGGCAAGCATGTCATGTCTAGCACGAACACAGGACATCAACCAAACATCTCTAAGTGCAAGTGTCCTCACCCTAACGAGGCAATTTGTGCCTCTAGAAGGCACCTTGTACATTAGATGGTGGTTAGAGATCCACAAGATTTTAATCTTAAACTTAAAGTAGTTCAACAAATATGTTTCCAGAATTCAGACATACCTCATATGTGCAGGCGTTCTAAACAACTACTTATATATGCATGATTTTTTTCGTGCCACGTTTTTAATAGATGATTTCTCTAAAGAAAAATTCTGCACCAGTATGATTTAGATAGTAGTTTTTTTCCTTAAGTTATTTGTTAGTTTTATGATACTTATTTCATTTCATAGTATGATTTTCCTCTATCGATAATAATTTATTCAATCATCTTTCCTTGAAATAATCTATACCTATATAATTAAAAAAATACATAAGGTTTCCGACAATTTTTTTTCGTCCGTGCGTTTTTTTTGGCCGTTTTCCTTTTTTTCCGTCGTCTTTTTCGGTTTTATTCCCATCTGCTTCTTGGTGGCCCAAGAAGAGGAAAGGAAGAGAGGTGGCTGCTGGGCCCAAGTGGAGATAGGGATGACGGCCCAAGAGGAAGGGATGGCAGCCCAAGAGGGAGGAGAAGAAGAATGGGCCAGATTTGGCCCAGACTTAGGAGAGGGCTTTTAGTTTGTTTTTACTTTAAATTAATTATTAAAATTATATTTGTATTATTAAAATTAGCAATTGAGCTTTGAAAAATTCAAAACAATTCTAGATAGGGTTCATTCATGAAGAATTTAATAAAAAATATATTTAGTATTTTATTTTAATAATAACATGTTATTTAATTCTAACTCTAATATATACCTCTATACCTAATAAAAAATACGTAAGGATTTTGGGTGATCCGTTTAATTGTCGGGTCAAAACCGTGGTTGATATAGTATATGTATCTTCCATGTAATCACCTCTCTCTCCTTTTTACACCTATATTACTTGCACCGTTTCTATGGGCCTCTCGGAATAAGTCTACCTTTTTATGAGCCTCTCCTGGAATAAGTCTACTTTCTCTCCCTCCTGTCAAATCATATTTGCACGTAAATTTTTTTTTCTCGACCACTAGCACGGACCATGCACATCTGGTTGATGAAAAATCAAAACTATAGTACCTCTTTCTTCAACAATTTTTTTGTTGATTATAAAATCTTATAATGAACCAGTTTTTAATTTAAAAATTAAAGTTAATTATGTTATGTGCACAAAAATCCTAATTGCAGCTCATGATTTTTTAAAAAGTATATATTCAAGCAAATTCCCATGGTGAATCTCACCTTAACTAAACCGTATAACAATAAGATTAAAATATATTTCACCCGTTACAACGCACGGGTATTTTTTCTAGTAATAATAATTAATTCAATCATCGAGTTGTGTAGGGGCGGGGCGAACAGTCAACGGGATAGGCAGCTCCCGTGTCCGGCTCGGTCGCCTCTTCTCCCCGCTCGCTTCCTTTCCTCTTCCCCCTTCCCCTTCTTCCGATTTCAAAATTCGAGCCCCCTCTCCTCCACCCAAAACCCTACCCGCATCGCTCCCTGCAGGGCCCAGCTCGCCGCCACCGCCGCGTCCTCCATGCCGCCAACTTTCGCCACCGGCTCCGGTAAAGGCCTCCGCCGCCGCCATGACGTCAGCTTTGCACCACCAGCTTCTCCGATCCTCTCTTCCACCCCCCCCCCCCCCCCCCAAACGCTCCCCCTTGTGCTCGTGCCCCTCGCGTGGCGCTCAGCCAGCCCACGCGCGCGCTCGCCCCGGGATGGCTGCGGGGACGGCGGCGGCGGCGGCGGCGAGCTCCATGAGCCCCCAAGCCGGGAGCGCGACGCGCGCGGCGCACGGGACGGGGGAGCGCTCGGCTCTGCCGCGGTATGTACGAGCGAGAGAAGCAAGCAAGCACGGGACGGGGGCTCCTTCGCCGGGAGGAGGGAAAGGCAGAGGCGGGACGGGAATGCGGTCCGCCCAAGAACTCGCCAGCGCTTGCACGGGCGCGGCCGTGGAAGAAGTAGAACTGCTTCGCGTCGTCGAGGCGAACGCAAGGGACGGCATGGGAGGCAGCCGCGGGGAGAGCTCTTCCGCGCCTCCACCGCCTCCTCGGTCAAGAGTGCTCAGGCAGGGAGGGCTCGAGGAAGAATACGCCAAGAACTCCCCCTCCCCTCTCGGATTCGCACCAAGACTCATCCGCCACGACAGACAGACATCGTACGAACTTGCAAGCACGTCAAGACCACCAGCACCTGAGGTGAGTGCTCTATGCGTTCTTGGCATTCTGATTGAGTTGCAACTCTGCTACTGCTTGCTGGTCAGGTTTTGTCTCTGTTGGGTTGTTTCACTCTTCTTCCTTTCCTGTTCATTCGCGGTGAGGAACTATTACGGGAAGCCAATTGCGCTGATTTCTGAGAGCCTTTATCTATTATTATGGTGCAAGAACGAGCTGCTGTTCAACTTTCTTGCCTATATAATCTCATTGAAACAATCAAACTTGTGAAACTTTCTTGTGCCTCTTGATGTTCATTGCACAATATGGAGAGCTCTTTACGAAATCAATTATGCTCTGTATGTTTCTGTTTCCCTTCATTTATAGTGCTGCAGTATTGTATAGTCGAATGTAATCTCAAGCTCTTGAGCTGTATGTCATCTTGTTTCTGACGAGTAGAAGCATGCAACAGAGGAACTAAAGAATATTTTGCTAGTATTTTCCATTTCCATCTGTGCATTGCATGATTGCATCTTGATTCCCTGTATTGCTTTTAAAAATAGTTATGCTAAAATTTTATGTGACCGGTTACAATCATCATAGTGTTTCTTTCTTTGTAAGAAATAATCATCAAATTGTTGGTCTGGTTATCCATGTAAATTCCAGTTCCAAATGATTTATTGGTACTGTCTAAATGATCACATTCAGTTATTGTGTTCTGTTATTGTAAAATGTGTTTCAGTCCGGCGGTATCTTCTGGAACTATCTGGGCAAGTCACTCCTTTTTGAGGGCCATTATGTATTTTGGTTCAAGAACAAGACACTATTTGTTCTACTTGCCCTATATAATTGGCTTTACACAATCAAACTTCTGTAACTTTCTTGTGCCTCTTTAGGAAATCAATTATGCTCTGTATGTTTTTGTTCTCTAGGAATACCCACCGCCTAGTTTATTGGCCCTAACATAATCACAACCATACGCATTATTACACTGCTCCCCGGAAATGTTTGGATTATTACACTTATTTGGGAGAAAATTTAGTCCAATGGCCTCATGTAAAACTGTTGCACCTCATCAGATGGGAGAACCACTTCGTATCATCACAAAGAAAGCAATGAGCGAGAAAAACAGGGCTTACACAGGAGGCAATCAAGGTAGATCCTCCTCTGCCCTGCTACCACAATCAAGATTCTGGCAAGGGATGTGCGAGGAAGCCAAGAAGGTTCTTGGCATCGCTAAGTACTCTTCCTCCCCCTCAAGATTGGCTGCAAGAATCCTTTGTGACAAGCAGGTGTTGCCTGAATCTGCAGGCACATCAAGGCCAGTGCTAGAGGTAAGCGACTCAGAATGAATGCTTCAAATTTCTGCTGTCTTTCTTTTGATATATAACGTTTATCTTCATAATTAGTTAAACATGCACGTCATACATTATGTAGAACTAGTTCAAAGGGACTTTTGTGCTGCTACTTACGTTTGCTGGTCTATCTTTTGCAAATAATTGTGGGTTTTGTTAAACTCCTGCCTTATGATGATCCAGCATGTTGCCCTTCATATATTGTGCTATAATATTGGAATGTAATATGTAACTCATGAGTTGTATGTCATGTTTCTGACAAGTAGAAGCATGCAACGAGGAACTGAAGAATTTTTTTGCTAGTATTGTCTATTTCCATTTGTGCATTGCATCTTGATTCACTGTATTGCTTTTAGAAACATTTATGGAACTGTCGTGTGACTGTTTACAATCATCAAAGTGCTTTTTTCCTTTGTTAGGAATGGTTGTCCGTGTATCCTGTTCAAAATGATTTATCGGTACTTTCTGAATGGCCACATGCAGTTATTGTGTTCTGTTAGTGTAAATGTGTTTCAGTCTGGTGATTCTTCTGGAATTGTTCCGCCATTTAGTTATCATTAACTTTTTTCTATTTGCTTCATTGCAGTTTGTGGATGAATCATACCAGCAGTGGTTATGTTCTCAAAAAAGCACTAGCTTAGTCGCTGACGTGATTGCTGCAGTGTACCATGATCAGTCTGTCCTTTCTCCATCTGCCTCTACTGGAACACTGTCCAGCCTGTTGGTACCTTCAGAGGAAAAAATTCAAGCTATCCTAGGAAACTTAGGGAAATCGGTGTTGTGTACAGAGGCTTTGCACCAGATTCGGATACTCTGCGATTCCAGTAAGGGAGCACAATCTTTCCTCAACAAGTGCCCAGACATGATACAAGTGTTGATAGATCTAACTACGGAATGGAAATCGATATGGACATGGGCTCTTGAGGAAGAGAGGCTGAGCATTGTCCTTAGTTTGTCAATTCACAGGCCAAACAGGGAGAGGATAGCTGCGCAGAAAAAATTGCCATGTTTCCTCAAACAGACTGTTGAAGTGGCAATTGAGTCTGGTGCTAGTGCAGCAGCATCTTTGGTGAAGGTAGCTTCTATAGTTTCCATCCTGTCAGAGTTTGACATGTTCAGGAAAAGTGTGCTGGATATTGGTGTAGTGACACTGTTGTGTAATCTGCTCAACTTTGAGAACGACGCTGTAAGAAAAGAAGCTGCCATTGCTGTTCTTGCACTCTGCGGATATATTGGAAACAACATGGTCACTGATGATGTCCTGCTTCTCCTTGACTATCTGCCAAAAGGTCCATGTGTGCTGGAGGTGATCTGCAATCAGACTGTAGTTGAGCAGTTGGTTAACATTGTTATGGCTGAACATGAAAGTGGGCTGGTAACATCTCAAGGCATTTACTCTGCACTTTCCTTGATTCTGGTCATTACTCAGAATGATGTGAGTAAAATGAAGGTGGAGCACATGGAGAATTTTATGAAGTGGTTGCGAGAGCTGTCCTCAAATGAATTGCCAATGCAGACAATGTTTCAGCTGATTGAAATAATAAGCCTTTTGTCACAAAGGTTGTATTCTCATAAGCCTAAGGAATTTGTTGTTAAGTGGCGGGATGATGATGTAAGTATTTATAAGCCATAATAGTACATTTTCTCCTTTAATACAGTTGTGGTATCCTTTTTCCTGCATTTGTCATAAGTTCTTTCTACACAATTGCAGGATCAGATTTGGTACCCTTTATATGCCGAAGTTACCATTGGTCGGCCTATCTCAACAAGCAAAGTGGCAAGGGTATATTATCAATTATGTTATCATGAGTATTCGAGAAAAAAAATATTATGCTTGCCACATCTCAATTTTCCATTGTAGTAATGCAATCTATCTTGTTGTGTAGAGAAGAGAATGGACTGACATAAGGATAGTTCGTAGGTTGAGGCCTCTCAGAGCTCAAGAGAAAATGCTGACAAAGCTCGAGTTTTGTGACCGGTATCAAAACTACATACAAGGGAAAAATACATACAAGCAACTGTACAGGGTTGCCATGGACTGCAATGGTTCCAAAATTGCTCCGCTGTCCTTTGTCAGGAAAAATCATGCAGTACCCGGTGATAATTGCAACCGGCCAGGTAACTGTATGGAACTATCTATACTGTTCTTGCCATATTTCCTCTTGGAATTCTGTTGGTTTTACTCCTTGCATTGGGCCGGCCTGCGATGCATTAATAGTGTGATTAGGTGTTAATCCATGCAGCAGTTTAATACCAGCAAGTTTAATACTATATAGGATCCTGAAGACCTATCATTCCAAATCTCAATGTCCACTGTAAATTTTGATAGGCCTCTATAAAATTCGAATATTTCAGTGTAAGTTTTATATATACCATTGTAAGTCTCAAATGTTCCACTGCAAGTTTCATAGATACTCGTAATTTTAACATATTACAGTGTAAGTTCTATATACCCATCGTAAATTTCTTAGGTGCTCAATGTAAATTTTAGATATTTCTTAGGAGTAATTCATAAGTATGCATTTAATATAATTGAGGGTACATATACGCTAAGTCGCTAACATGTAGTATAGACTATAGAGGTACTGATGCAAGTCAACTAGAATGCTACTTCTTGCTTGCCTTGTTCTAAAAAATGATTTTTTTTTTCTGGAGACATCCTATGATCGAGGTAAGCCCACTAGGCCTATATAGCTAATGCGCTAATCTTATGAGCATATCAGACAACCTGGTTAGAAATTTGACTGATTTCTCAATTAAAATGTGTCTACAGATTTTTAGCAAAATTGTAACTGTATTTGTTTTTTTCCTAGCAATATACAGTTATGTAATCTAAATCAATTTTATTTTATCAGACTTTTGAACGAGTCTACATCAAAGAGTGGTTTACCCTGCATGGGCATGTCTGTCCAATCACTCAAGAGCCTGTTTATCAATTGTTCTAAGGAATCACAGATTACGTGATTATTTGGAATATTGGCGGGATTCAGTCCAAATGGTAACATCCAAGGTCACGACATGATGAAGGGTGTCTTGACTTTCCAAAGGCTACTATTACTTGTGCAGAGTGTTGCTGCTATGTAAAAAGACAAGAATGTAATTGAATTCATATTTTCAGTGTTGATTTTTTTCCCATTGACATGTCCAGTTGACCATGGTGTTTTTTTAATATTTTTTTTAATATTGTATTGTGTATATGTTAGATTGGTTAATAAAAATCAACGTAATGGAGGGTTACAAATGCACATGATATGCATGGAGAATTGGAGCGGTTCAAAATGTCTGAATTTTCAGCAGTGGAGAGATTGAATTTCAAATGAAACTACTACTACCTCCCAAATTAGTGGTCATTTTGACCATTTGCTTGTAACGTTTTACCAGTTGTCTTATTTGAAAAATTAGTGTAAATATAAAAAATGATAAGTCATATTTGAAAAATTAGTGTAAATATAAAAAATGATAAGTCATAGTTAAAGTACTTTTGATAATAAAGCAAGTCACAAACAAAATAAATAATAATTCTATAATTTTTTGAATAAGACAAATGATCAAACTTTATAAGTAAAACAAGTATTTTGGGACGGAGGTATTATCTCTTTTTCATATTATAAATCACTTTATGTTTATCTTAAGTTAAATCTCTTTTAAGATTGATCAATCGCTACAAGGGGATGAGAACTGTGCAAACCGTGCGCACGTAAAATGGGGTGATCCTTTAGCATGTGATTAATTAAGTATTTGCTATTTTTTTAAAAATAGATTTATTTGATTTTTTAAGAAACTTTCGTATAGAAACTTTTTACAAAAAAACATACCGTTTAACGGTTTAAAAAGCGTGCGCGCGGAAAATGAGGGAGAGGGGTTGGGAAAGTGGCATACAAACACACCCATAAGCGTATATAACACCAAAGTTGTTTCATTAAACCTATTATTGAATATAATTTTCATAATATATTTATTTTATGTCGGAGATGTGTTATGCTTTTATATAAACTTTGATATTTGTGACTTCTAATAAGAGAAAATCCACTCAGTGCCACTGAGTTTGTCACCCTTCTACAATCTGCCATTGACTTTGTAAAGTTCTATAATATACCATCGTGTTTTGTTCAATCTCTACTGCGTACCATCGCCGTCAGCGAACCGTTAGTTGCCCTCCGTTTGTAGTGTTGATTTTTCTCTTAATGCCTGAAATGCCCTTTGACTAATTGACTAAAACCTAGCCCAAATTTCCCAAATCCTCACCGCCGGCGACCAGGCGCTGCCCTCCCTGTCATCCGGCCACCACGACTCCACCGCCGGCGTCCTGGAACCGCCGCCCACCATGCCTCCATCGCCGGCATCTTGGCGCCGTCGCCCGCAGCGCCGCTGCCCTTCCCTTCGTCCGCCCACCAGGCCTCCACCGCAGACATCCTGACCCTGTCGCCCGCCGCGTCGCCGTCCTCCCCGTCGTTCGCCACCACGCCACTACCGCGGATGTCCTGGCGCCGTCGCTTGCTGCGCCGCCGTCCTCCCCATCGTCCGCCCACCACACCTCCACCGCCGGCGTCCTGGCGCCGTCGCCCGCCGCGCCGCCGCCCTCCCCGTCCTCCGCTCACCATGCCTCCACCGTCGGTGTCCTGGCGTCATCGCCCACAGTGCCGCCACCCTCCCCGTCATCCACAGCGCGGCCGCCCTACCCGTCGCCCGCAGCGCCGGCGCCCTCCCCGTCCTCTGCCCACCACGCCTTCACCGTCGGCGTACTGGCGCTGTCGCCCGCAGCGCCGCCGCTCTCCCCATGCTCCGCCAACCACACCTCCACCGCTAGCATCCTGGCTTCGTTGCCCGCAGCACCGCCGCCTCGTCCAACCGCCCACCGCCCCTCCACTGCCGGTGTCCTAGCGCTTCCGTCCCCATCACTGTCGTCCCCGGCGCCGCTGCAACCGCCGTCCCCAGCGTTGCTGCCACCAGTCGCCCACCGCCAGCAAGGAGCTGGCCCTCCTTGATGACAACAAGGAGGTAGCCATGCCTGTAGAATTGGCTAGGGGTAAATAGGTCTTTTTAGAGCTTTAACAGAGGTTAACTAGACGGTGATGACACATAGTAGAGGTTGAACAAAATATGGTGGTACATTATAGAACTTTACAATGTCAGTGGTAGATTGTAGAATGGTGACAAACTCAGTGGTACCGAGTGGATTCTCTCTTATAATAACTAGCCATTAACAGCCGAAAAGCTAGCGTTTTTCTTGTTTTTTGGAATTCTTTTTTGGCTTCATGAAGAGGTTTATGCGTGTTGGGATTTTTTTTTGTAAAAAGCTCCTCGTTTTTGATGGAATATCGCATACGTCCTCGGACCACCTAACACCCTGTGGTATTCTCTTACGTATAACCCCTCGTCTTCCAGAAAAATACAACATGAAGAAGAGAAAGTTCCGTTTCCAGAGGTAGCGCTGTAAACACGAAAAATATAGGGGGTTTTCTGCAAAATGTCCTTCCCTCACCCAAAATTCCTATCTCCTCCGATCCCCCATTTCGCCAGCGCCGCCGCCGCCGCCCGACCACCCTCGCCTCGGTGCAGGCCAGCCGTCCCCGTCGCCGCCTCCTTACCTCCCCCCACCGTCGCCTCCCTGCCCCGATGCTGCCGCCTCCCACCGACTCCGGCGTCGGCGCGGGTTAGCCGCCGCCATAGTCTGCCCTCCCCCATCACCGCCATCCTCCCTCCCCCACCGTCTCCTTCTCCTTTCTTCACCCCGTCGTTGCCTTCCTGCCCTTACCCAGCCCACGCTGCGGTCTCTCCAGCGCCGTCGCCTTCCACCGATGCTGGAGTTGGCGTCCGTCCTCCCCTCTGAGCTGGAGAAGGCGAGCGGGTGCTCAAGCACGCGGAGGAGAGTGGCGGCGGGGCCAGTTTCTTTGGCTGAGAAGGTTCTGAGCGGCATAGGCCGATTCATCTATCCCGAGGAAGGCATGCTGCTGCTTCTGGGTCCTCAAGTAGGTGGAGCTCGAACAAAGGGTGCGGCGGCGACCACGATTTACGATGTGATCCTCTAGCTTTCTTCCTCGGTTCCTCCTCTGTCTACCTTGAGGTCTGACCTGTTTGTTGCTTGTTTTTTTCTTCTCTGCAATTTTGTTTGCCTTGGAGTCATTAGGCGTAGAAAATTTTTCTTTGATTTTCTCCGCAAATGCTTAGAATTGGTCGACCGGGGGAAGGAGAAAATCGGTCGCACCCCCTCCCCCCACGCCCGCATTCCCTGGGTCCACCCACATGTCCCTCCTCTTGTTCCACATAAAATGTTTCACTTGGCTAGTGTACTCATAATGTTTCACTATGTATTAGATCTTCTAATGAAGTGATGGAAATATTCTTTTGCAACAAATCACCCACATATTTTGGATTCTTTTTATTGTTTGTTCCACAAAAAATATTTCACTATGTATGGATCAAATTTTGTAGTGAACTGAAATATTCTTTCGCTATTTATTAAAATATTGTTTTTTATGTAAGATGAAACAACGTCTGATTTAAACAAATGAAACATTTTTGATATACTTAGTGAAACAATTCAGGTATATTTGGTGGAATATCGTGCAACATTTAAAAATAATTTAATAATAAGCTAAATTTTTTTTCGTCGGAATATATCCATGTGTGGTCTTGTTTTAAAGATTTAATTGCAACAAATTTAATGGTGCAATTGAATCATAATTTGGATAAATAATTTAAGAGAAAAAAATAGTTCAAAGTGGTTTTGCACGTATGCATTCATGCTGATCTCAGCGCCCGATTTCTCCACGCATAGATCGGGCGACCGATCGGTAGTCTCGTCTGATTTTCTCGTCCTCATTCCGTGATCCAAATGAAGCTCCAGTATCCGAACCCGCGTATGAATTTAAAGTTTCCGGAGATGAATCCCTCTGACAAAGGTAAGGCTCCGGCGCTGAATTCTTCGGACCAAGGCAAGGGACCAACGGAGAAGGAGACGACCGTAATTTTGACAAATTGACCATTTCAAAAAACTTATTTAAAAAATAAACCGTGCCTAAAACTAATTTCAAGAATAGGCCGTGGTCTCAGCGCCATTGTGATTGGCGCTGAGCTAAGGTGGTGTCTCAGCGCTGGTACAAACTTGTCAGGTATGATGAGCTCAGCACCACACTCCACGGCGCTGACCTCTGTATACCGTAAAATCGCATGGGTGCTTCAAAAGCAAGGAAGTGTAGATAGCCCAGTGGTGGTGTCGCGTAGTAGCAATCGAAATCACAGGAGTTCTATTCCTGTCCTCTTCATTTTAATTATTGTTTCTCTCAACTTGCTCTTTTTATTTGTTCTTTTCAATGTTCACGTGCCTTTTACAACTCATTTTATTTTTAGACTTAGAGGGAACAAATATAAGAACCAAAATTATACGATTCAAGTTTAAAATTTTATATTTATAATTCTTTGGAAAAGAAATTAATAGGACAATAATTCACGGAGTAAAAGAAAAACTAAAAAGAAATACTGCACTAACGTGGTTCGAGTGACCTTCATGTTCAAACTTAATGATACTACCACCAAGCTAGCTGCACTTGCTTATCTAATGTGGACTGTGCACGGGTTTAACACTGGTATCAGCGCCAACCCATTTGGCGCTAAGCTCGTGCTATGGAGGACAAAAATCTTAGCGCCAACGGCGATGGCGCTGGGACGTTTTAGCTCAGCGCCAATCCCGATGGCGCTGAGGCCACAACCTATTCTTGAAATTAGTTTTTGGCACGATTTATTTTTGAAATAAGTTTTTTTGAAAGGGTCAATTTGTCAAAATTACGGAGGAGACGATGAAGATTTGTATGTTCGATACGGGTGGAATACAATTGCAAGCATAGGTATTTACCAGTTTTCGCATAGGACCTATACGGCTGCAGCTCTTGTCTAACAGTACAGTTTACATCTGGTTGTGACTGAACTTCACAAAATGGACTGGAATAATTGAACTGTGCATCCATGGGTATCTTATATTTCAATTGTTGCATGGATTTTGCATTTTCAGCACAATAAATCTGATCAGTGTTAGAAAATTATTGAAGGGGTGAGAAAGGGATTTTTTTTTTTTTGCACTTGACCTTGGAGGAACAAATTTCTGTGTTTTACGGGTACAATTAGGAGGCAGGAACAGTGAGTTATCAAGCAAGACTAAAGGGGCCCATTCCACAACATTTAATGTCCAGCAGTTCACATGTAAACCATTTCCCACTTTTTGCAATTTGTTTGTTAATTCCAATCATTTTTAGGATTCTATACT